TTTTTTTTTTTTTTTTTTGTGTTGTTTTTATTTAATTGTTAATTATTTCAGTCATGTAGATGTAGATGATTTTTACAGGCCACGGCATTAATTAAAGACATCTGTAGAAAACTACATGCTGCAACCAAATCAATTGAGAATGCTGATTATACAGTAGTTTTGAGAGGTGATTCGACTTTGCGTGGCCATTTCCCAGAGGCAAGGACTGTGACTTTAACTATATTTGATTATTTATGTTATAGAGTCATCAACACTACTGGGACTTCTCACATTATTTGATGAGACTACCTTATCTGTTTAGGAAGCTGATGCTGCTGTTTCAGTATTGGGTGAGATGGATGCATGGATCATCTGCCCCTTTTTTCTTCAAGGAGGGCGTTATACTATCGGAGATATACACTATGTTGCAGATTCTGACCAGTAATGTTCATCCCTTTTTTGTGTCACAAATACTTAATAATGATCTGGTGGTGAATTAACATTGCTCATTGTTCATGGGGTCTTTAGGCTTATCCCTGCAGCGGATACAGGATTCGCTAAAGATGCTGCTTTTGGCTACAAATCTTCGAATCTTCGAGAGGTCTAATATTTATATATTGTGCTTCAAATACATAGTTTTAATACATATTGCAGTGGATATTAGCTTGAATTGTAACTTTGAACTTCTTTGATAGTGGGTTGAGGAGAAAACCGCCGGCCGCATACCAGCCAGCAGTGTTACATCTGTTTCTATCCAACTTCTAAGAAAAGGTGGGCCAGATGCTGTTTGTGAGCGTCTTTGCAGTTTGCAAAAGGTACAGAGAAACCTGCTAAGTAAAACATGCAAGCAAAATACATGAAATGCTTATATATCTCCACCTTGGACTATGATTTTGGAACAGGGATCGACATGCATAGTTAATGCAGCTAGTGACAGAGACATGGCTGTTTTTGCTGCTGGAATGATCAAGGCAAATTTCCTGCTGTTCTTGGACCTTATTATTTTTTACACCTTCCTCCAGTATATTTTGATCACATTGTGGGCGCTTCTTTTATGAGTTTTTGTTTGATGTGGCAGGCAGAACTAAGGGGCAAGCGTTTCTTATGCCGCACTGCTGCTAGCTTTGTTTCTGCCAGGATTGGAATTATCCCCAAAGCTCCAATTTTTCCCAAGGATCTTGGAATAAACAAGGAAAGGAATGGTGGTCTCATAGTTGTTGGGTCATATGTTCCAAAAACGACAAAACAGGTTGAACCAGTTATCTGGATATCTGTTGTGTGACTACCTCTCCACTATGTTATTGTTATCTTATGGCTCACACTCTTAATTCATAGGTTGAAGAGCTTAAATTACAGTGCAACCAGATTTTAAGAAGCATTGAGGTGACCAAACATAATTTCTCTCTTGTGCATTTAATTGTTCATTGTTACTATTGATTCCAAACACAAAATTGTAATAGGTCAGTTTCTTTGTAACTTTACTTCGGTAACACTAGGGATCTGAATATGCCATAATTAGGTTTCGGTTGCTAAAGTTGCCATGAGTTCTACAGAAGAGAGGGAGGAGGAAATCAGTAGAGCAGCTGAGATGGCAGATATTTTTCTTACAGCTCGGAAGGACACTCTAATAATGACCAGTCGGGAGCTCATTACCGGCAAAAGTTAGTCTCCTTTTCTTTTTGTTTAAAGAATTATATGAGTGTATCATACTTGCAAGAACCACGTAAAGAGCTTTCTCTGCTATTGTCTATTTTGAATTGGCCATTGGGCAGCTCCCTCTGAAAGTTTGGAAATCAACTTCAAAGTTAGCTCTGCACTGGTGGAAATAGTTAGACGCATATCTACGAAACCACGTTACATACTTGCCAAGGTACTTCTACGTTTTCAAATGAAAAATGTTCAATTCCCTATTTTTCTTTATTTAAAATATTATTATTATATTTATTATATATATGGAAGTTATCATTGAGGGATTAAATCTCATCTTTCTGTCACAAAGTTTAATTGTATCAGTAGCTTCTCTGTTGTACCTGGTACTGTTTCATGAGTTTTACTGCTGAATTTGTACTTCATTTAGGGTGGAATCACATCATCTGACCTTGCTACAAAAGCTCTTGAAGCAAAATGTGCCAAAATAGTGGGACAAGCCCTGGCTGGGGTTCCCTTGTGGCAGCTAGGTCCTGAGAGTAGGCATCTGGGAGTTCCATATATTGTTTTTCCTGGTGAGTTTTGGTGTTCTCAAATATTGTGCTAGATTTACTAAAAGGGTGTATTAGAATAAAAATAATAGTTGTCCACATCCTAAAGCTTAAGTCTTGGGTACCAATGGTAAATCAACAACAACAAAAAATTCATGGCATAGCGGGAGATTTTGAATTCAGATCTCGCAAAGCTCGCAATTTATGTTGAATTCCACATGTTGGGATCTCTAACAGTGGAGAGACACCAACTCGTGAGGGTGAGAGGGAGTGTTTGAATACAAAAATAGTTGGCTCACAGACACATTTTAAAACTTAAGCTTTTGGGAACAATGATAAACCAACAAAACTTATATTTTGGACTTGGAACTTCTTAAAATTCTCCATTCTCAGGTAATGTTGGTGACAATAGTGCATTGGCGGAGCTAGTGAAATCCTGGGCTCGTCCAGTCAGACTTTCATCAACCAAAGAGCTTCTTCTGGTAAGGATCATTAATTTCAAGTTTCATAACTATTTTTTCCTTGCATACTAACAAATATAATATCTGTAAAGAATGCGGAAAAGGGTGGATATGCTGTAGGAGCATTCAATGTTTATAATTTGGAAGGAGTAGAGGCTGTTGTTGCTGCAGCAGAGGAAGAACAAAGCCCGGCTATATTACAGGTTAGAAATACTATAACGTGAGATGAATCTAGTTAATTTTGTTAATAGCCCAATGTTCCTACAAGACATATTGTGTGACTATTTCAAGTAACTTTTAGGAAGCCAATGACAGGAGATCAACTTAATCTTTTCAAAAAATGGAACGTAATTAGAATTTCTCAAATGATCCAATTGCTACAAGAGATGATTGCTCAATTGAACGTCTCTTCATGGAAACAGAGCAACATCCAAGTCCTCTATGCTAATTCCACTGCTCTTGTATTTCCTATATGTAGATGCATCATAGCGTTAATAATTTTCTCTTATTGATTTCAGGAAATGAACTAGGATAGGAACAAACGGTTCTCTTATGCTCATTGATTATTTATTTATTTATAATAATATAACGATTCAGTTTAATGCCTCAAAGATGTATCTATGATATATCTGAATTTCAATTGAATTTCAGATAATTTTATAAATTGTTATTTATTATCTAGATCCATCCTGGTGCCTTGAAGCAAGGAGGGATCCCGTTGGTCGCATGTTGTATATCTGCTGCTGAACAAGCCAGTGTAAGTGGCACATTCTTAACACGTGTTTCTATAATGTCTTTCCCCGTCATTACCGAACCTACTTTCAGTCTCTAAGAGCTGGTACTGAGATAATGTACATCTTATGGCAGGTTCCCATAACTGTACACTTTGACCATGGAACTTCAAAGCAAGATCTGGTGGAAGCTCTTGAGTTGGTAAGTTGAATTTTTACCATTTGTGTTTATGTTGTGTATATCATCATGTATCATCATAGAGTTATTAATTGTATTTTCCTTCCCAGGGATTTGATTCAGTCATGGTGGATGGTTCACATCTTTCCTTCACCGAAAATGTTTTGTACACTAAGTTTGTAGCATTCTTCGCTCACTCGAAAGGTGTGCTAGTAGAAGCTGAACTAGGGAGATTGTCAGGGACAGAAGATGATTTGACTGTTGAAGATTATGAAGCAAGGCTGACTGATGTTAAGCAGGTTATTTTTTTCCTTTCAAGTTTACGAAATCAGCTTTCCTTTACTCTTAAACTTTTCTAAAATCATGATAAGGCCTTGCAAATTTCAGGCTCAAGAGTTCATTGATGAAACCGGGATAGATGCTTTGGCAGTGTGTATTGGAAATGTCCATGGAAAATACCCTGCAAGTGGGCCAAATCTGAGACTTGATTTGCTTAAGGTCAAGTATAAATGTTGCTTGATGAAAGTAATATGCACGTTACATGGGTACCAAATATGCAAGCCTTCCCCACCCACACACATCCTCATTATCTATGTTAGTACTGAGTTCAATTTCCTCTATGATAGGATTTGTATGCTTTGAGTTTGAAGAAAGGAGTGCTCCTAGTGCTTCATGGAGCTTCTGGTTTGCCTAAGGAACTTATCAAGGTAAAATGTTTATATGTAATGACTTGAAAAACAATTAGGGTTCATAGGTTTTCGTTTACAAGTTGAAGATCGTCTTGTATTTTGATGTTTTAATGTCTGAATATACTGTTTTGAGTCCTTGAACAGGAATGCATAGAGCATGGTGTGAGAAAGTTCAATGTAAATACAGAGGTGCGAAAAGCTTACATGGATTCCCTTAGCAACTCTAAGAAAGATCTAGTCCACGTTATGGCGTCTACAAAAGAAGCCATGAAAGCAGTGATTGCAGAGAAGATGCATCTATTTGGTTCTGCAGGAAAGGCGTGAGATGGTTTTAAAGTGACCACCAACCGAGTGATGGAGTGATGTATCACATATGATATGAATCATCTATCTAATCACATGTTCCCAACTGTTGAATTTGTTGTCTAAATAAAAATTCAAGCTCGTGAATAATTAAATTGAGGAACTAACAAAATAATTGTCTTTTCAATTTCCATACCGTTATCTGTCCTCTCTTTTATCTCTTTATGATAGCAGAAGTAAATAGGTCGAGAGATATCTCCATTGTTGTTAGTTACACACCAAATCTCAAGTTTAAGCTGTCACAGGAGTATAGATAAATCCCATTCCTCCACTCCCAATTTCTTTTTTTTTATTCATTAAAAAAGCAGAAGTATGGGACTTACAACTGAGGAGAGAGAATTCTCCAGGTATCATGTTTTCTGGATCACTCTTATTTCTGTGTACTTGGCTCCTGGGAGAATATGGACGCAGGGACTGTACGGACGACGATTGAGACGCCATTGCAGGAGTTGGGAGTTCTCCTGACGTCAGGTTTCGGCCGTTGGGTTTCCCTCGGATACTGACTCAAACAAAACGCACAGCAGTAGAGAAATTTGATAAAACCAAATGATGTGCTCAATTGGCAAATATTTTCACGTACGGCAAAGGACCTTGGGGAAAATTTGCGAATACGAAGAATATACAAAGGCGTTTCTACCCTACTAGGCGACAAAATATGTAAGGGCATCTATGACATTTCAATTTGATACGAGATTGACAGATAGAGAACAGGATGAACTAGGAACCATGTTGGCAACATATCTGGGAGAGATGACGTCACCCTACCACCACAAATTAAAAGGAGGAGAACGGTAAGCATCAGAATCCAAAAACGTCTCTATCTCTCTCCTTTCGCTCTGTTACGCTCTTGAGCCTTGGCAACAATGGCAGATCAGAACCAGAAAGCAGAAATCTTTGAGCTGAACAATGGGACCATGCGTGTCTTCATCACTAACTATGGCTGCACCATCACCTCCTTATCTGTTCCTGGAAAAGATGGTATCTAAGGACATTTCCTTTTTTCTATCGATCTGTCTGCTGTTTTAGTAGGCAGTTTTATTGTATGGTATATATAGTCATCTGAGAAAATGTTGCTGATGTTTGGATTGGTTGGTGTGAATTTTGAAGGAAAATTGGCTGATGTTGTTCTTGGATTCGACTCAGTTGACCCGTATATGGTAAATTTTATTCCATTTTTTCTGCCAACCCGTTTGATTTTTCTTCCTGTTGTTTGTGATATCGTGCAAAAATTGATTCTTTGTGTGTAGATCAGCTGTTTTCATAGTAGAGCAAGATAATTATTTGTTAAAGTTGTCAATTTGGTGAACCAAAAATGAAGGAATTTGGAGATTTAATGTGAATGCTATCCAATGTCTTTTTTCTCTGTTGAGGGATCAGTTGTTGGGATTGAACTGTTAGAATTTTACATTTGGAATGGGAATGATGAGCTTTTGTACTTGTGTTTAAATATGTATTTTCCTCTGGAAATGCCATCGCTTGTGTGATCAGCAAGGGCTTGCTCCTTATTTTGGCTGCATTGTGGGTCGGGTCGCAAATAGAATCAAAGATGGAAAATTTACACTCAACGGAACTGACTACTCTTTGCCTGTCAACAGACCTCCGAACAGTCTCCATGGTATGGATTTGTCCAGTTTTTCATTTTCAAGGCCTTTGTTGCCATCAACTTTTTCTGTTAATTTTCAATTTGCCTAAGTTTGCTGCTAAATTTATATTGTTTGAATCATATCATAGACAATACAAATACTTTCCTTCATTCACTTTCTTGAAGAATGCAGGGGATATGGTGTTTAGAAGACTTGTCTGATTGGCATTTGATTTTCTTGCTGATATTTGCACAACTGAATTCACGTGGTATACATCCTGCTGATTTTTTGTCCTCTCATTAGGTGGTCACAAGGGATATGATAAGCAGATATGGGAGGTAGCTGAACATAAAAAAGGCGATAATGGATCCATCACTTTTAAGTATCATAGTCGTGATGGGGAGGAAGGTTCTCTCTCTCTCTCTCTCTCTCTCTCTCTCTCTCTCTCTCTCTCTCTCTCATATTTATTTTTTGCCTTGCAATAGGTTACCCAGGTAATCTTTCTTTGACTGCAACTTATACGCTTACTTCAACCACATCAATGAGACTTGACATGGAAGCAGTACCTGAGAACAAGCCCACCCCAGTCAGTTTAGCTCAGCACACCTACTGGAACTTAGCTGGCCATAACTCGGGGAACATACTCGACCATGCAATTCAAATCTGGGCAAACCATGTTACCCCTGTGGATGAAAACACAGTCCCAACAGGTGAAATCAAGCCAGTTAAAGGCACACCCTTTGATTTCACCGCTCAGAAGAGGATCGGTGAGTCCATCCATGAGGTCGGTATAGGGTATGACCACAACTATGTGCTGGACTGTGGGGAAGAGAAAGAAGGCCTGAAACATGCTGCAAGAGTGAGGGACCCATCCAGCTCAAGGGTCCTTAACCTATGGAGCAATGCCCCTGGGATGCAGTTTTACACTGCAAATTATGTCAATGGGGTTGTTGGCAAAGGAGGCGCTGTCTATGGAAAGCATGCCGGGCTCTGTTTGGAGACACAGGGGTTCCCAAATGCAATAAACACACCAAACTTCCCGTCCATTGTGGTTCAACCTGGTGAGAAGTACAGACACAGCATGTTGTTTGAGTTTTCAGTTGAATAAGTGTAAGTAATTCTGTTGAACTCTATTGAGGAGCAGATATCTGAGTATGGTTTACATTTGGTTTGCTCACTGCCTACAAGTGTTTAGAGCCTGAATGAAATCGTAATAAATGATGAGATGCTTTGCTTATGTTAGAATTATTCTTTGTGAAGGACCTTTTATTTTATTTTATTAACTCCTTCCTTGTTTGAGCTTATTTGAAATTTCAGTTCCTTGAACATTTTGATCAGTTTGGTACACCTATTTTCAAACGTATCAGCAACTACAATCCATTTCAGAAGGCAGTTTATTCCCCCTAAATAATTCTGACAATAATATAAACTAGTAGAAGTAATTTGCAATAAAATATTTGCGGCAGACTGATGCTTCAGCTTTCAACAGCATCCCAAAGTGAACTGCTAAAATTATGGCAACCAAAGCAGAAGATTTCAAAAGCAAATCTCTATTTTTATACTGCAAAAGTAAATTCTTATACAAGCAATTTTATACTCTGAAATTCAACATTTTTTGTGCCACAAAATGTTGATGGATCTCTATTTTTTGTTGTTGTACTTATGGGTTTAAGCCCTATTATTTCTTATAAATAAAATCTATTTTTCATTCTTGTCCAATGGGCTAATAGCTGGAAATCATTAGAATGTGAGGTATCAGAAAGAATTTATATTATCATTCCCCAATATCACGTGTATAAATAAAATAATTGAAGAAATAAGTTTAGCACAGTGGGCTAGCGCCCTTACACTTAAAAATTAAAAAATGAAAACGTATAGCCGCGCGACTGTACTCTTTACCTAGATTAGAAAATTTTAAACGTATACCGCGTGGCTACACACGTCACATATATTCGACTATTTTGGAAGTATCGCCGGACGGCTATACTATTTTAAAAAACCGTATAGCCGACCGGCTGTACTACGCTTATTCGAATATTGTAAGTATAGGCACGCGGCTATACTCTTCGACAATAATGTATAGCCGGACGGCTATACTCTTTATGTATATTCGAATATTTTAAAAGTATAGCCGAGTGGCTATATAAAAAGAGTATAGCCGCACGGCTATATGCTTGACATAATATTCGAATATTTTAAAGGTATATCTGCGCGGCTATACACTCAATAATTTAAAAAAATTTAAAAAGAGTACAGCCGCGCGGCTATACGCTTGCCATATAATTTTTTTTAAAAGAAAACAACTGTATAGCCGTGCAGCTATACGGTTTACATATATTTGACTATTTTTAAGTATAGCCGTTCGGATATACGCTTCAATTGTACATTTTAAAAAGTAAATTCTTGTACATGCTATTTCATACTTTGAAATTTAACATTCTTTGATCCACAAAATGTTGGTGGATCCCTATTTATTGTTTTTGTATTTGTGGGTTTAACGCATATTATTTCTTACAAATAAAATATATTTTTTATTCATGCCCAATGGGCTAAAAGCTAGAAATCATTATAATGGGAGGTATCAGAAAGAATTTATATTCTCATTCTCCAATATCCCTTGTATAAATAAAATAATTAAAGATATAAGTCTAGCGCAATGGGCTAAAGTGGTATTTAAGCCCTAAGCCCCAAAATAATATGTCAAAATTGTATATTCGAATACTATACTTTTCAAAAAAAAAAAAAAAAAAAAATTAAAATATTCAAATATATTTAAAGAGTATAGCCGATCGGCTATACCCTTTAAAAATTAAAAAAATAACGGTATAGCCTCGTGTGCATAACCTTAGGTTTCAAATTAACAAAAAGGCTTATCTATGATAAATATTTCCATGTCAGAACGTATTTTGTTTGAAGTTATGATGTTTTTTTTTAATGATCCATTCACATACTTCCATATTTTGAAGGTTTCAAATGTGTTCATGTTCTTGTACTTTTCGAGGCCTAGAGACACCTAGGAAGTCCTCTAATAAGATAGGCCCAATATGGGAAAGAGGAGCAAAATGACCAGCAAAGCATATGTTGCAGCTCCGTTCTTCTCCCTGTAATGGGTTTGACTGCTTATATCCTACTAGCCTTCCTCTCACCTTGTTCGAACAAGTTCAAGCGGTAAACTTTCCATTGCAAGCTGAAATTCAGAATGCAACGAGAATCAGATAGGAAAATACCTCTCAGTTTCAGTAAAAAGCTGAAATGATGCTTACCCATAGTCTGGGAGTTGTAGGATCAGATTTTGAATGCACTTTCGCTACATCTGATTGAAAGGTTATGACTATGGCAACTTTAAATTCTATGGAAAATGGACTGCACAAAAAGTTAACAAAGGAGTGAGTTGACGTGAACAAACTACAGTTTCGAGGATTAAATGGCGCTACCGCACAAACAGAGCAGATTTAGCATATCATATAGTTGCACAATGCAGTAGTTCGTATGCAGTACAAATAGTGCTTGGGTTCTCATCAACAACTAAAAAGCTTAAATTAATGAACATCCCAACGGCCAATGATCATGACATCATGTGACGTGACATTCAACAGTATAAAACGGATGTTCAAATGTCTAGCTTGAGGTGCAAAGCAAATCATCTAGTTGGGGAACTTACCCAGCTAAGACGGTAGGACAAGTCAAAAGACGGGGAAGTATAACATAAATGGGTAGAGTCATATTACGGCAGACATCTCCATCTGCTATCTGATATATCAAGAGGAAACCCAAAAAAATGTTAGTGACAAGTTGAGTTGAATACGTTAATGAGATGAGAAAGGGTGCATGCCTGTGTAGTCTGAATCAGAGACTGTTCAGTTACTATTTTCTCCCCAAGAAGGATTGACTCTACACGAAGCAAGTGCATGTCAATTGAACAAATCGGAACTGCAGACGCTTCTACTGTTAGTTCACCAACAATGGGATCTGATAAACAACATTGAGTGGACATTTTCCCAATAACCCGGAATCCACCTATTTCAGCAATACCAATCATAAGTTGATCATGTCATGACACATTCAACATCTTCCAAAAAGAAATTAGAAGTTAAATGGAACACATAGTTTCTATATGGTACTTTTTCTTTTTCTTAGGCATGCGAAGGAAAGAAGCAAACCTGACTTTAGTTCAGGAAGTAGCGGATGCCTTTGAGTATCCTGAGTAAGGTAAAAGATAACCATCTCCGGAGAAACTGGTCGCTCAAGAAGATCAGCTAAAAGACAAAATATCATCAAGCATTAACTTTAATTGAAGTATTTAAGTGAAATTACAAAGAAAAGGTAAAACCATTTAAATATATTACATACGAAAGTACATTCAAAACCTACCTTTATCACTTTCAACTATGAACTCCATTGTTGTAGATAATGATTTATGCAGGTATCCTCTCGATATATCTACAGTTAATAAATACTATGGAACATTTTATTAATCATCAGGTTTCAGATAAATACGAAAATAAAATGCATTACAAAGGTGGGAATTTGGAATTGACACCAATGATTCTCAAGTCAGAGTGTGAACCACTGAACATTTTCACTTCTTAAAGATAAAAATATGCACCTGAATGTTAATATTTGCTCCATGGAAGGTCTCATAGAACCTTTCCAGGTTCTTTTCTCCTGGCTGCTTGATATTCATGGAAAATGGAATCTGCCACAAACATGAACTATAATTTGCAAATTCACCTCCAACTAAACAAAAGGAAAAGATGCAAGTTTACTAAGATAAAAGCAGCTTTGAATGCACAACGGGATTTATATTGTGACTTGAAATATGAAAGAGGCCATGGCAGTCAAATTTACTACTGGTACCATACATTGTTGGAATATCATAGTGATTCAAGGTTTAAACATCTTTTCTTCCAAGTTTAAAACAACTGTTAAAATTGAATTACTTCGAAGATACCTCTGATGTGCCTGAAGCAATCTTTCCGGAAGGTCTAACCTCAATAATTTTATTCCTGTTTCCAAGTAAGTAAAACAAATCAGTTGTGGAAAACCTCATCCGAGGCAAAGAGGACATAAGAAAGAATCAAAATTTGAGTTCATTTGCCCCAATCCCTTCGTAATTAGAAACAAGTTATTGGATTATTTCACCACAATTGCAATAGTGTACCTCAAGGTTAATAAATGGGACTGCAATTACACAAACCTACCAAAATCAAATGCAGCATAAAAGTTACGGAGTTCAATTTCTGCCAATTACAATACTTTACAAGGCAAGAAAATTGAAAATTGAAATCCAAGAACCAGCAAACAATGTCCAAGAGCTATGAAAATCGCACTCACACAATGGAAATAGGCTTGGCAACACCAACCAAAGTCTCGATAACTCCCGCCGATCCTCCACGAACCTGTAGAAAACAATAATAGTAATCATGAACCAGAAACAGCAAAAGGACCTTGCCACCTATTCGCTTCATTCTGAAACATTCAGTAATAAAAGATACGATTTTTAAGAAGAAAAACAATATATAACAAAATTGAAGAGTTTGTTTTTCATTGATTTTATCGGGAACTAAACAGAGGGGAAAATCCGAACCTGCAAGTTGACAGATCCGTTAACAGCGAGGCGAATTCCATAGTGGGAGATTGAAGAAGAAGACCTCACTATGATTTTACCCTCAACAACTTCCTGAAATTCCATCTCATCATCATCTTCATCATATATTTCTTGTACAATTAGTAACACACAAAGAGAGAGAGAGAGAGAGAGAGAGAGAGAGAGAGCAGTTACAGAAGGGCGATAGACGCGATTAATTCGTGAAAGTTTGAGCTCTATCGACATTGTTAACGACGCAAAGCAGAGCAGGTTGCAGGAGCTCAGCAAGTCAGCAACTATGGTGGTGACTATACTCTTCTATAATCTATACACATATACACGAGCGCAATGTACGTCTGCTTACGTGGCAAAAATTGATTGGCAAAATGACTGCATTCTACGTGGCAAGTAGCGACCGAAACAAATTTTACAACTAACGCCCATCCCAATATTAACCCTCGCTCTCAACTTAACGTTGTTTCCCAAATTCCCAATCATCTTCCTCCTCTGCCTTCTTCTTCATCTTCTCCGTTCTGTTATTTGGCAAAGCAATGAATTTTGCGACTCGGAAACTCATCTTCGCTCTCCTGATTGTCTCTCTCTACCCTCTCTCTCTCTTCGCTCGGCCGTATGTTCTCGTCCTCTCTCAAGACGACCTCTTAAACACCCCCAACTCGCCCGACGACTCACCGCCCGTCGACTCTACTCAAAATGACTCGCCCGAGTGGGATGAGTTTGGCGACTCCGGCTCCCCACAGTCCGAGGAGGAGCTCGACCCGGGCTCCTGGCGCCCCATCTTCGAGCCCGACCCCTTTAGGCCCGACCTGGCCAACAACCCGGACGAACGCTATTACTCCACCGTATCCAAATTAATCAAGTCCGTCAGCTCCGGCGACACGACGCTCATGGACGACGCCGTTTCGGAGATCGAGGAATCAGCTTCCCGCGGTCTCCCTCACGCGCGGTCCGTGCTGGGGTTTCTGTACGCTACGGGCCAGATGAGGAAGCAGAACAAAGCCAAGGCCTTCACGTACCACTACTTCGCTTCCGAGGGTGGTAACATGCAGTCGAAGATGGCTCTCGCTTATACTTACTTTAGGCAAGATGTATGGAAACCCTGGCTGGCTCTTCAAATTTTAGCGATCTGTGTTTGGTTGCAGCTATAAAAAGGAGGAAATTCAAGGATTGATTCTGTTGTTGCCTTTGTCTTTTGTTTGGTTTGCAGATGTTTGATAAAGCAGTGAAGCTTTACTCGGAATTAGCCGAGGCAGCAGTGAATAGCTTCCTAATTTCGAAGGACTCGCCGGTGATCGAGCCAGTGAGGATCCACAATGGAGCTGAGGAGAACAAGGAGGCATTGAGGAAGAGCAGAGGTGAAGAAGATGAGGACTTTCAGATTTTGGAGTACCAAGCTCAGAAGGGAAACTCTGCGGCAATGTATAAGATTGGTCTCTTTTACTATTTTGGGCTGAGAGGGTTGAGGCGCGACCATGCCAAGGCGTTGTCGTGGTTTTTGAAGGCGTTGGAGAAGGGAGAGCCTCGGGCGATGGAGCTGCTTGGGGAGATTTATGCTAGAGGAGCTGGGGTTGAGAGGAATTATACCAAGGCTCTGGAGTGGCTTACACTCGCAGCCAAACAGGAGCTTTATTCAGCCTATAACGGGATGGGCTATTTGTATGTTAAAGGATATGGGGTGGAGAAGAAGAACTACACCAAAGTAAGAATACACCTTGGCTCTATTTCTATCTCTACCTGTATTTATAAGCTCTATGCGTTCTTATATTTTGAAAACTATGTTATGTTACTGATTGTTGTTACCTTTATCATTTTTTATAAACGATCACTGGGAATAAAATTCCACATTGCTAGTCGTAATAGTTTCTCAGAGCATAGTTTTCCTATGAAAGTTCCTTCCAAATTCCAATACATTGGTAGGTTGTTTCATTCATTCATATGTTACATCTAATCCTTTTCATCATCCTTTTTAATCACAGGCAAAAGAGTATTTTGAGAAGGCTGCTGATAATGAGGACGCAGGGGGGCACTATAACCTAGGAGTAATGTATCTCAAAGGGATTGGGGTAAAGAGAGATGTGAAACTTGCTTGTAAATACTTTATAGTGGCTGCTAATGCTGGTCAACCCAAGGCATTCTATCAGCTGGGAAAGATGTTTCATACTGGAGTTGGGCTTAAGAAAAATCTTCCCAGGGTAAACTCACAGTTATTTTCTCTTAAATTAGTTTGGTTTGTTTTTAGCTTTCCATGTCCTTTCTTTTTCCCCCTAAAGAACAAAATATGCAATAGAAGAGATTTGAGGAGATTTATTTTATTTTCTTCTACTATTTGTGGAAATGAAAAAGTGATTTGTCATTTAATAAGTAAATGATCTTAAGATGCACCAACACACATGCACTGATAATTCCAATTCATAATTAAGATTTAATTCTTTTCAGGCCACTGTATTGTACAAACTAGTTGCAGAAAGGGGACCGTGGAACTCCTTGTCCAGATGGGCACTAGAATCATACTTAAAAGGGGACATGGGCAAGGCATTCTTCTTGTATTCAAGGATGGCTGAGTTAGGCTATGAGGTAGCGCAAAGTAATGCTGCATGGATTCTTGACAAATATGGAGAACGTAGCATGTGCATAGGAGAATCCGGTTTCTGCACGGATGCAGAAAGGCATCAGCGTGCTCATTCATTGTGGTGGCAAGCATCTGAGCAGGGTAATGAACATGCTGCTTTGCTGATTGGGGATGCATATTACTATGGTCAGGTAGGTGTCTCAGGATGAAATATGTTTGTCACTACTCTATCTTCAGGATCTATCATTAGAGTTACGCAGCTTGATCTCTCCTTGACTGTTTTTCTTTTCCTTCTTCGTTTCTTAGGGTACTGAGAGAGATTATGAACGTGCGGCAGAGGCTTACAAGCATGCCAAGTCCCAGTCTAATGCACAAGCCATGTTCAACCTTGGTTACATGTATGAGCATGGACAAGGGCTGCCTTTGGATCTTCATCTCGCGAAGCGTTACTATGATCAAGCTCTAGAGATTGATCCGGCAGCAAAGTTGCCTGTCACATTAGCCCTTACAAGCTTATGGATACGAAAAAATTATGCCGATGGTTTCCTGGTTAGTTCTTGTTGATTATCCTTACTGCCTTTTCAAATAATAGTTATAGTAATCACTAATCAGTGGTATCTTGCAATTTTTCAATCAAGAATAGTGTTAAAGTGTCTCAAAGTGTCTCAAAGTGCAGCATTTTCCTTATGGATGCTGGACCTAGCTTATTTCTAATGCTATTAATAGTGTTATCTGCCAGTTCAAATAGTTCTTAAAATGTGGAAGACTTTTCTAATTCTTACTTCTGCAGACAGTTCTTCCAACACCCACTGGGAGTTAAGTGGGTATATTCCTTGATTGATCAAGGTTATTATAGTTGGATCAGCATGATATTGCTTCTGGTTATTATCATCTCCAAACTAAAACCCAGACTCCTTTTCTTTTTTCTTTTTTTTTGTTCATATTTAGTTATCAAAGGAAAAAGATCCTTGGTCCCTGTGTGGAAAATATATGGTACTAAATTGACATACTTGGAAAGTAGAATGACTTTTTGAAACCTTTTCTTTTGGGGAATACTGTATTTTACCAGTAAAGTTGGTTATTTCTTCAAAAAGATTATTTGTTGATAAAGTATTAGGAAGTTTAAGAATCAACCATGCTGAATTGTTTGGGTACCGTGTGCCCAAGTTTGCCCAAGTTTTCATGCAAAGTGCTTCAATTGACAAAATGGTGATTAGTGAGTTAGTGAAATTAAGGTTGCTCATATTCCTTTACAGTTTGAATTGTAAATCCCTATTAATATGCAATATCCTTGTAAAAAGTTCTCCCCTTGAAATGCGTACTTGATTTGTAAGTCCATGATAGATGAGCAGTGATGTAAATCCATTCTCTGAATCTTCATTCATTTGTTTTCTTTTTCTCCATTTGGGTCTATATGCAGGTCCATGTGATCGATTCATTGCCTGAAGTTTATCCCAAGGTGGAACAATGGGTAGATAATGTGCTTCTAGAGGAAGGAAATGCGACAATATTGACTCTTTTTGTTTGTCTCCTCACTGTCCTATATCTTCGTGAGCGACAACGCAGGCATGCTGTTGCTGCCCCTGGTGGGATGGCTGTGCCACACCACCCGAATGAGCATGTTGCACCAGCACCCTTATAGTTTTGTTGGCAATGGTGGTCTTCAGGAACTACAAGGCTCTTTTTGCCGTTCCATCTGTTAAGAACAAATATTTTCCTCTAGAATGCTCATGTACAGGTATCTGATGCTCCTCAAATTATTTGGAAAAAAAGCTTTTGTTTGGGACAAATTGTACCATAGACATAGAGAGATTTGCGGAAGTAGAAAATAACAGTGCTTTTGCCTCACATATAGAAAACCTTGTATCGCTTCTAAATTTCAGTTAAAGAGGTATATGACTCTTTCTCCGCGTTGCCCTGCAGCAGGCTAGAATTCAGTAGATTCATTTTGCATTAGTTTTCGGTACTTCTTAATTTCCGTTGTTGGAGGTAGAACTCTCTTTTCAGTGTGTATCTCTTTTAACTTTAATAAAATCCTTTACGCAAAAACAGAAGATACATTTAAATCAAAGAGAACATGGCTTGAATTGTGAAAATATATGGTGGTTTGTGGAGGCTGAAACCGTGGTATGATCTCGTCATAAGTTGTGGACCACCAATGTCGAAGCTAAAGTTTGAGTGTAGTATATTGAAAAAGAGAAATTCTATATGAACCCCATAAATTACTCTTTACACTCCATAATTTTTTACACCCCACTAAATTTTAATAAAATTTCAAATTACTCATTAAACCCCTTTTTTAACCCTAAATTGCCCTCATAAACTCCATTCCCTAACCATCCACCGAAAACCCCCTTCCTTTTCAGCCACACCCCACCGAAAATTCTCTCCTCTTGCAGACACACCCTATCGCACACCCCATCCCATTTACACCAACCTCCATCGCAGAACCATCGAAGAAGCCCTTTGCCATTGCCTCCAGCAAACCCGAACCATCTCTGAAACAGAACCATCACACCCATCTCCATCTCTGCAAACCCAAAAGCCATTGAATGTCAAGTTCTCACAAATCTTTATTCAATGTTTGATTTCAAATTTGATTTATATATTTACGTTTCTAAGTGTTGATTAAGCCTACATTTGATTTCACTATTGAAAAGCCAAAGTCTGATATTGATTTTGATTTTGATTTTGATTTCAAGATTCTGGGTAGTTCGAACCTGGTTTTACGAAAATGGATTCTAGTTTCGGTGGATTACCACTGAAATGATTACATTGCTTCAGTGGTAGTCCACCGAATTGAACCTGTACTTTCGGTGGGTTACCACCGAAATTGTTACCTTGTTTCGGTGGTAGTCCACCAAAACTGTTTCTATTTTTCAGGGGACTCCCACCGAATTTCTTTCGGTTTTTCAGTGGTACTCCACCGAATATGTATTCTTTTTTTAGTGATTGTCCACCGAATTTATTTCCGTTTTTCAGTGATTATGTATCGAATACGTTACTGAGTGTGTACTTAATATTGTTTATTTTTAGATATGAAGAGGATTCGCATGGGTACTACTAAAGCTTCATCATACCGACCTAATAGACAGCGTCCCACGGCCTCAACGAGGAGACAGAGAGCGGCCCCCCAAGATCACATTGAGGATACTACAGAGGTTGAAGATGTAGTTCCTACTGATTACAGTAATGTTGACGCAGAGGTTAAAGATGTAGCTACTACTCAGGATAGTAATGTTGAGGTACATGTCGAGCCTACTGAGCCATCTCAAGTAGGTCCCATTGATCCATCTTTACTTACGAGTTTTAAAACTCACATAGCAACTGCAATTTGGAATAACCAGGTAAGTCGTTTTACTGTGACAATAGAAGGTAGAATATAAGTCTGGTTCATGGTAACTAACCTTAATTTTGTTTTTTTGTTTTGTTTAACTAGGAACGTGAGCCCCTTATGTGCATGTCGAAAACATCTACCCTTCGTGAGTGGAATTGGTGGGGTAATCCAAATAATAGTATATTCAAAGGGTACATTCAGATATCTGGATTAGAACACCTTATTAGGTGTTCTTATCGGAATGCTGATAAGATTGTGGTATCTACATTTGTTGAGAGGTGGCATCCCGAAACGAACATCTTTCACATGTCTTTTGGTGAGATGACCATCACATTGGATGATGTGTCATCTATTTTAGGCATTCCTGTGTCTGGTGCAGTGGTTGCTCCTCTTGGGAATTTCTCTATATGCATATATGTATCGAACGCTGATTGGTATTCGCGAGGCTTATAAAGCTGAAAATAAAACAAAATATTAGTTATATGGTAATAACACATTGTAAAATAAAACATTTGTAGTACATACCTTAAATTTTTTTGGATTAGACAACATGGAACTAGAAGCAACCAAGTTTCTTTTTTTGGCACTGCAATGGTACTTTGCTTCGGTTTTATTTTGAGTGAGGTAGTGAGGCTTTGCTTTGGTTTATTTTTAGGTAGAGCAATGGAGGCCTTAGCAATCTCAAATGCAGATGGCAAACAACGAGTAGAAGTGTCGACTTTTCTCGGTCTCCCTTTGGTCTTCAACTTCTCTTTTGGTTCAATAAGTGCAGTAGAACCAGGGTTCATTAGCTCCTCTAGTGTCATGTGGGCTTGTCTCTTCTTCTCACCATCTTGTTGTTCATACCACATATTGAATCTTTGTAGTTGTGACCTTCCTGGTGAAGTTGTGCCATGACTACTGTTTCCTATATTGATGATATCTAATTTCCTCCAATGTGAATGCACGACATCAAGTGGTATTGGTACACCATGCTCTCTATACTCCGCAATTTCATGTGCACATGGTAATTGGTTGGTTCGACGAATAGCACAACCACATGATAAAGCATCCACCCCATCTGTCTCTAACCTGATTGCAAAAAATTACAATGTTAACTCTGTAAACCATATATGTACATGCAATAAGTAAACTGAATTTACCTTTCTAACTCGCACACAATTACACTCAAAGCCTTTATAGAAACAAAACCTACTAACTCTCTCAACTCCGGATGCCTGAACCTATGTTGAATAAAACATCGACTCTTTTCAAAAGATGCCTTAATCTCTGTGTGCTCTAGCTCTAACAATGAGTGTATAGTTACCCATGATCTCTCAAAGTTAAGTTGGCTTGAGCGGAGCTGTCGCTTCAACTTTGCATGTGCACTTTCCGCTCTGTTGATAACAATAATAAATTTTCCTGAAGCAAAATAAATTTTCAAATTAACATATCAAAAGTTGACTAAAATACTTACCTATTTGAGATCGTCGATCCAAGATGCATACAAGTGTCTGTCCATGCGGCCACAAACTTATCCTTAAATGGATTTAACCAATTTTCATGTATGTATTCAAGAGCTTTTTGAAATTCACTGAACTTAGACTCAATCTGTCGCAAACAACGCCAATATTCCTCCTCCGTTTCTGAACCAACCAAAGTATTCCAATCCTCATTAAATTGCTTCCATTGTTTGAGGGTCCCAAATAACTTCTTGCAGTTTGCCAACACTCCTTTGTTAATATGCCATCTACATAATAAATGTTGTGCTTTCGGAAATATAGACGTAATAGAATTCATGAGTGCTAACTCTCGATCGGTGACAATAACACCAGGAAGACAATTATCATCCAACAAACTCCTCAACACAGTCAATGCCCATGTGTAATTGTCTTCCTTCTCGGCATTCATATACACATACGCAATAGAGAATGTCATATTAGTATATGTCACCCCTACAATTTGCAATAGTGGGAAACGATACTTATTAGTCTTGTAGGATCCATGATTAGTACATGTGGAAATGCGCGCAAAATATCAATATTAATGGGGTGTGTCCAAAACAGGTCAGTTACAATATCACCAGATGTCTTATACCACTCAATATAATTGTGTTCGGATAACTTAGTAAGCAATTGTTGCATCTGGGTTCTCCCAGCAAATTCTTTGGTTCTATTTCGGATCCTAGCATTGTATATTGTCTTCATAGTTGAAACATTCATTGCATCTCTATCTTTAATGGTGACCAAAATATCTCTGGGTTTCACCAAACTCTTAGACATGTCCACCAACAAGGCATTCTTCTCTTCAGTAAGTCGCCCCACAAATGAATGACCTTGAAGATACTCTGAAATAGGATGGTTGTGTACTCCACAAACCACCTCCAACTTCCAATCATCCCCATCACCAATATTGACACCTTTTAACAAAAATGGGCATCCACATTTCTTGGTACCAGTGTCCCTAGCACATTTTTTCATATCACTATTTGCATCCGACCTTATATCAGTTGTCTCACTAGACTTGCAAGACTTATAGTTACTGTTCCTCTCACAAGCAAGTATTACACGAGATCTCCTCTTGCCCTCACCTCCATAATCAGACCTTTTAATTACAATGACAATATTATTCAATTTTCCTTGTTCACGAGCCCATCGAAGTAATGCATCTCTACCATTGAATATCTACACATAAAACTCATATTATTTAAATATAAAATTTGAAACATTAATGCCACGTTAATGATACTAAAACGAATTTCAGACAAATAATTACCGAATAAGTTGTGAATTGATCACTATAGTCCATTACACATTATGTTCCCACATTGTTGCCTTCAGTAGGGGCGTCACCTTGATTTTGTTCCTTCAATGGGAGTAAGATCAAAATAACTTGGATTAAATTTGTGGTCGGCAATAAGTTATTGAAAAAATAAATAAATTTCGGTTGGATGCCACTGAAACGCGGGTAAAAGTTCGGTAGTACACCACTGAACTACGTTCCATCTTACGGTGGATCCCCACCGAATATTAAGTTTCTCACCGGTGAAATCCAACCGAAAACGGTGCAACGTTTCGGTGGCATCCCACCGAAATTATCTGTCGCGTTCGGTACTGATGTGCTGAACACAACCAGCGACTGTTATTAAATACTAAACTTGCAAAACACCAAAAAATAAACTCGTACCTCATTCGAAGCGTCTCTAACTTCAATCTCACCCTTCATGAATAAATACAACATATTTTTTCACCAGTATAAACTTATAAATCTTGAGTTTAGAGTTTAGGAACATGATAGTTTGAGAAAAAAGTCAAACTAGGATTGCAGGAACATATGTGGGGTGTAGTGAGCAATTTTAATTTTAATTTTAATTTTTTTTGTCCTTAACGGTAATTGTGTACAAGGGTAAAATAAGTTATTTATATTTAAAATTAGTATTGGGTGTAAAGAGCAATTAATGGGGTGCTAATAAAATCACCCATTGAAAAATAGTCGGCCCAAAAACAATACATACTGAAGAGCACATTAAAAATTCCAGCTCAAAACCATCCATAACACTCGGCCAGGCAATCTCACGGCCCAAGCAAAAGATCAGAGTCAGGCTGGCCCATCAGAGCTGGGCCAATTTCACGGGGCTGGACATACTTGCTCAAGAAAAATAAGGGATATTTCTTTTCTTTACAAAAAGCTCATTAGAGTTGTGTCATATACAAAAAGCACCTAGACAGAAAATATACAAAAGTTCCCAGAAATGAGTATGGTAGCAGGGAAACGTTTAACTCGCCAGACAATTTGCAGAATGGATTTCCAACCATGTGAGCAGCGTATTTAATTCAGGCCACCAGCTTGGTGCTAAAAATCCGGTAGTGCCTACTTCCCGATTTGTCACTTTGAGATTTTAGACAAATTTGTACCCATGGGGGATTTCTGCGAGTGTCATTTTGCTCCCCATCATTATCTGCAATCACTCCTAACAATGCATTAAGTTTGCTCTCCAATGCCTTAACAGAGGACTGGCCATCAAAAAACTTCACCTATCATAAAATCAAAATGACAATCAGGAGGGACAAAAAATCATGGAAAAAAGAGGGACTATACAAATAGTCTGTCCAAATATAAGTTAAATGAGGATTACAAGTTCTTACCCCATCTTCTGCATACAAGAAAGCATGAATTCTAGCAGTTGAGTCCTCCAGAGTCAGCCTAATTCTGTCAATCCCAGCAGGAAAGCAGAAGTCCTTAGCCTGCCATGGGAAAGCTGCTATGACTCGAACTACACACTTGAAACTGGCTGTAACCTACAAGGTTTGGAATACATACATTGAATACACAGCAGTTATGATGTTCCAATAAAAAAATGCCACGGGCATTAATATGAGGAACATTTCGAAAATAATAATAATAAGGGTTACAGGCAACATGAAATAGGTAAGATACCTCTGAACTTGTGAGGACATCCATTAAGGTAAGAAATATCGCATGGTCATCATCATCATCACCATCAACCTCTGAGGGAGGAAATAAACATTCATAAAAAGGTCATCGCCATAAGAGAAATTCAAAACATAGAGTATATGTTTTCCAAGAGTTGAAACAGAGAAATAACAAATCCAAAAATTCATCACCAAGAAACTAACAGTGGTACCTGTCACTTGAGAAGGCCAAGGTAAGCTCCAAAATGGCATCCGCCTTAAACTTTGCGGACTTCGTGATAATCTTTCATCATATAACCTAATCCATATAAATTGCCTCAGACTTTCAGTAAGTTGCAACATAATGATGCTATGCATGATAATAAAATCTCAGCTAAAAGTAACGAGACCTTTGCCGCTCAATTTTGAGACGGTCCTCATTTGGTGTATATCGAAGCTTTGTGAACGCTGTCAACACACAACGCCATAACCCTGCATGCACTTCACATAGCAAATTCAAAAGTTTTACCCACTCCCCAGTTTTTAGCAAGCGAAGGTTGTCATGTTCAATGTCTTGAGATACCACTCTTAAGACAGTTCCGACAGAAGGAAAGCTACATAAGGTATCTCTTGACAAAGGCAGTGATTCCAGATGTAGGGGAAGTGGGTGATGCATTTCATCTTCAAGCCTGTGGTTCAGAGTTACCAACATTTGATATTTTACTTCACAAAATAAAAACTCCAGTAACCATATAGTAAAACTAAACTAGCTTTCACCACGAACCTACATATCCAATTAACCGAACACATGCATGCAGGCACAGTCCATTAAGATGATGCTCTAATGTCATACACCATTACACAAGTTGCAATTGAGTAAGTTCACATCAATAGAGAATTGCATTAAAAGAACACCAGCAAAAAAGGATTACAGAATATCAGAATTCTGCAAGGAAAGTATGCTGAAAAGATCAATCACTTTTATAACTTCAACACTAATTCAATGAAAGGCAGATAACCTCCTTTAAAATAAATAAATACACGAAAGAAGTCCAACAAGACAGGGCCAAAAACAAAGTACCCCATAATTTTATTATTAATCAAGATGCTCTATAAGAAAAAACAAACATTGACGACAATCGACTCACTTTTGAAGAATATTGGATGGTGGAGCATCAGTTCCATCCCAAACAAAGGCCATCCATTCATTTCCAGCACCCTCATGGATATGAATTATCTTAAAGTAGTAAACAAGGAAAAAAATTATATTGTACTCAGTACATTGAATAATTAAACAATAAAAAGAATAAGTAACTTAACCGGGTCAGATCTTTAAACACATTTGAGTAAATTAAGAATAATTCAAATATCCCTCTGTATTCCCTATTTTCTCCTTTAAAAAGAAAAATAATCAGCTGCACTAACACATATTTAACAAAAACGGTTGACTTACTTTACAAACCAAATTAAAGCTTTCACCTCCATTAATTTCTCTGATCAATGAGAAATAATTTGCACCTACAAAGGGCATACATTTCTATTAAAATTAGATAACCAAATAAACAAATAAGGCGGGTTGTGAGATAACTCTCTATTGACCAACAAATAAAAAATTTCCTGTCTTTCTTCATATTTACAATTAGATCAGAAAGTTGCTCCATACAAAACTACAGCACTTTCCAGAGAGAGATTCCAAATTAGATTATTCCCCCCACCATCACTAACCACAACATTGTATTATTTTTTGAGAACAAGTTAAATTCATATATTTTCATAATTGAATTATGTTATGTCTTTATTTGAAACAAAATACTTTAAGAATACCTTCATCAAACTGAAAATTCTGCAACCATCTTCTCAAGTCTATCACAAAATTCTTGTCTAGGTCTTTCTCGCGAAATGTTTCGTAAGTTTGGTAAGGAACTAAATTTCTACCATCCCTTCCTTCATATATTGCAAAGCTAGAGTACTTCTTGTAAAAAACAGCATTTATCTTATCATCATGAATTTTCATCTGCACAAACCCAAATCAAATCCAATTATGCTTCATCATGTAATGTTTGTCAAGGTCACAGAACTTTGCATGCTTTTAACAAAAACAAAATGGAGTACAAAGGATAATACATAACATCACTTTTGTTTCATAAGAGATAATACAACACCATTGTGATAATGGAGAAAACATGATTTAATAGGGAAAAAGGAGGTGGAAAGGAAAGCAGCTGCAATTGGTCTATTCAACCAAAAAATATTTGGAACGTATTTGTACAAATATGTCGCACTAGTTTGAGGAACATTCTGAATCATTCTTCATTAACTATCTCATCATGCAAGCATCAGCAAAATGTGAAAAAATAGGAACTTAAAGACAAACGAAACTTTAGTTTATCATATTTTCTTCTTTCGATTGATACATAAAAAAGGAAAAATCTATACAGATTAAACTATTGGCTTGAGCAATCAGCAATTATCTGTAATTTTAAGACACCCAAAAATGCAAAAAAATTTAATGGATGATCAGTTTGGTATACCGAAACGCGTTGGAACTGAATTATGTCTCCAACCGACAAAATACGGGGAAGTTGATGCCTAGTTTGTGTAAAAACGTTAACTGGTAACCCAGGATCCTGATGCGTCTCGTCAATTATACGGACCGAACAAAACCAATCTGCAAAAGATTCACACAAACGCGTACATAACAGACAGAGAGAATTACAATTTCTATCTAAAAACAGAAGAAAAGAAATTAACACAAAGAAACAGAAATGTTAAAACTGACGAAGAGAAGTGAAAGAAAGTAAGAAGTGGCTCAGCAACAACACCTTTACGTCAAGAGTCTCATCAATCTACTACCGACCAACCGGAAGCAGCCGTAAGTTCGGCCTTTGTTTCATCATCGCCACCACAAACATACGTATACAGAAATAAATAATTGCAAAAAATAAAAATAAAAAGCAAAAGTTTTGTGGACTAAGTTTGAAGGAAGTAAGGAGGAAATGGAACATTTTATATACATACACATTTAATTAAAAGAAGAAGATTTACCAGTGCCCTTGGTTTTCCTAGGGAAACCACACTCGAGGACGACGCCGATTAAGTTCACTTTCTCACCCACAGAATCTATGGCGTCCCTTATCTTCAAGAAGTTATACAAGTCACCACGCGGCATCTCGTGAGTATTTGTTAAGCTCTACAGAGAGCTCAGCTTCTTCTAGGGTTTCTTTCTTTGCAGAATGGAGGGAAAGAAGGTATAATATAAACTTTGGGAGGAAACCACACGTGTGAATCCATTTTTCTTCAATTTTCTTTTTTAGTTTTTTTGGAAACCATACACGTGAGAAGCGAAATGATGCATAACTCTGACACGAACACATCAAATCCGTCCAAACCGACGGATCCCATCCAATCCGTCCAATTGAGCTACTCACGAAATGTAGAAAGTTAAAAAGGCTTAATTATGTACATGCCCTCTGTGCTTTCCAACTTATCTCAGATTACCACCTGTGTTTGCAAACGGCTCAAAGTATCCCCCAACGTCTAAAAAAACCGTCTCACGTTACCCTTTCCGTCAGTTTTTTTGAAGTTCCTTTACGAACGTTACTGTTCATCCCCCCAAAATTCCAGAACAGCAACTCATCCCCTTTGTTACTGTTCATCCGACCGGTTTTTGGGCTGCCATCTCCTCCTTCGGCCACCCCAAGCGACGACATGGGTATCAAAAGAACCAGCACGTTGTCCTCTACCACCCTCACATCTCATCCGCTACCAACCGCCGTCTGGATGGCCGAAAAAAGCAAGAAATTGGCCGATTTTTACCCAAAATCTCCATCGCTCGTTCGGGCAATTCCGAGCACCATTTGCTTCGATCCAGGTATGGTTTTTCAACCTCTCGAGCTGTTCTTGCTGCTAGTTGTGTTGGTTATGAGAAATTTCTGAGTTTTGGAGGGTAAATAAGCGATGAACAGTAACAAAGGGGATGCGCTGCTGTTCTGGAATTTTGGAGGAGATGAACAGTAACGTTCGTAACGGAACTTCAAAAAAACTGACGGAAAGGGTAACGTGAGACGGTTTTTTAGACGTTGGGGGGTACTTTGAGCCGTTTGCAAACACATGTGGTAATCTGAGATAAGTTGGAAAGCACAGGGGGCATGTACATAATTAAGCCAAGTTAAAAACACCCTTATTAGTGCTTTTGCAATCCTAGTAGGGTGAAAAAGACATTATATATTTGCCCCTAGTTGCGAATTGACCCCAAGGTCAGTTGTCTATTAGTGAAATATTTACTAACTAACCCCAAGCTCAGTTGCCTTTGGGTGAATTGCGAAATTGAAAATACTTCCCTCTTTACTAGGTAGGAGCTCCTACGTTCCTGCCAATAGCAATGTAACATGTGTACAGAAGTTTTTTTTTGTGTTTTTGATATGTATCAAACTGTGATTCACACAAAGGATATGCAAGTAATATCCTTGCGAAATATCCATTAAACTTGCCTTCATTTTCTGTCTGCTAGAATCCTATTCTCTTTTCCTGGGCAATATACATCTTTGCCAATGGAGGAAAAACACAACTATAATTTATTTGAGCAAAAGACCAATACACACTTAGAATTCTAAATGAGAGCTCAAAACTTTCCATAGAAACCATAAATTCATAACACACGGTTCCTGCTAATGTAAGCAGAGTTTAGAACACCTTTCCTTACACATGCAAAATATTATGAAGGCCCAAATGTAGCTTGTAGAAGCCTCCAGTATCTCTGTGAATGCACGAAACCGCAAACATCTCATGATTTCACCCAAGATGTGCTCTCCTACGTAATCACCAGCCTGATAGAATTACAAGTGCCCAAGGGTCATTATGTCCTGCACTGCACCAACCTCAGAAAATTTCCATAGAAAACAATGTCTTTGTGCTTATTAAGAATATACTAGCGTGGGTGCCTCCACATCTGCTCCTCGTACTCACTAGTAGTTGCTTCCTTGGGGCATTTACAGTTGCACTTCAGGCAGACTGTGTTTCTACCATAATTCAAGAAATTACATCTGCAATATACATTACCATTTTGTAAAAAAATCAGTTAACCTTAATATTAAATCTAAACCACACACACACACACACACAAAAACAAACAAAGAGGAAGATGGAGTTACGAGGGACAGTCCCAATCTGTAGGATTTTTCTTGGGCCGTGTCTCTTGACAACGCAAACACTTCCTATTGCTTGCAAAATTCATGAAGGCACACCTGAAGAACACAAGCCAAGTGATCAGAAAATAACTAAAATTAGAAGTGCAAACTAATTTATAGTTTTATGTTGGATCTGTTTATAAGATTTCGATATGGGCCCTGGATATAGTGTTTAGTAGGAAGAGCATTTGGTGTTGACTACCAGGAAATACACTCCCATTTATTCGCTGACTTTTTATTCTGTTAGTATTTTTATTTAGTCCTTTGTCTATTGGTTGCATTCCCCTTGGATGCAATTCAATTAACTTTCTTACTTACTTATAAGTAAAGTTACTGATAACAATGACATTAAATTTCATATATTAACAATATACAGAAAAAATGTTATTCTCAAGAGCAGCAATAATCATTCAAATTTCACAATATCGAATAAGCACACTCAGTTTACTAATTTAGATTTGCTGAATTATGTCAGTTGTCAGGGCGAAAATAAGACTTACTTTGGGCAGTTCCAGTCTCCTTTCTTCATTTCAACAGCATCTGTACTCACTCTCTTTGGCCCTTCAGCTTTGCACTTTAGGCAGCGTATATTTCTAGAGAAGTTCATGAAATTGCATCTGCAACAAAGCGCAGACCAGTAAAGATATGTGGAACTTGGAACACAAGAATCTGGTAGTAGCCTAGACTAGAACAAGATGTGTGTAACTTCAAATCATCATACAAACATCATTTTCCAAATCTATCCGTGTATCACCAATATATCAGACAGTTGCTTTGTGCTATATTATTGCTCCCTCTCCATGCACTCAAAACCTCTAACCCAAAACATATATATGATAACATCGAAATTAGTAGGTCACATTGAAAGACTTGAAAAACCTTGGGCTTGTATCTGTAGTGTAGGAAGATCACATAGAGAAAATCAGGTTTTAACTGATTAAAAAAAGATGGTGAAAAATTTGATGGCAACCTTATACGTATATGTACCATGAAGAAATTCAATAACTTAAAACATTTTAAAGGTTCAAACTTTTTCTTGCTAATTCTAACATTCAAAGCATTGGAAAAAACTAAACAACTTCTTTGATAATTGGAACAACTTAGAAACACAAACAAGTATCATTACATTATTATTTTTACTAAAAGGGATTGCAAATTATTTCAGAAATATTCTCTCAAATACCGATTCATGGTAGCACTGCAAAAGTGGCTTACTCAGTGCAGATCCAGTCTCCCTTTTTCATTTCAAGATCACCCGCATCAGCTTTTTTTGGGCCATCTTCTTTACATTGTAGGCATCTTAGATTTTTAGCAAAGTTCATAAAATTGCATCTGCAACAAGATAGAAAGAACAACAGTTCATAAACTAGTGCAACTGAGCAATTTCAATTGCAGGGAATGCGTTACAAGTGCAATGAGAGGGAATGACATGCAATGTTGGATTCAGACATCTCAAATATACGGGACTGATAAGCAATCACAGAAAAGTAGTTATACAGTAAAATGTCCAGGAGCATGATACCTCAATTTTGTAGGACTGGACAGCGGGTAGACACACACAAACAAGCAAACTTAAAAAATAAATATGACGTAAAACCAATAGATGCATTTTCTGGATTAGACAAAATTAAAAGTTTCCACTTGAATAACTGAAAATGTATTGTTTGAATCTATAAAAATTCTTCCAAAGAATCAGTAAATCATCAAACTAGTATAGTAGCAATTGCCATAAGTGAAAAGAACAGTAAATGATTGACTCGAAAATTCAACAAATACTTTCAGTGACTAATGGACATGACTAGATGTTAATTCAGGTAGTGTTACAACAGTAAAACCACACACACACATTCACACATAATTAAGTGTCACATATAGCATAAAAACAAAAACAAAAACAAAACGCCATAAGTTGAGGAGATTACCTCCTCCAATCAAGTCATAAAGTAATGCATATATTAAATTAAAACGGCATAAAGATGACCACGGTAACTTGGTATGGCTTACTTGGGACACATCCAATCTCCTCTCTTCATTTCAACAGTTTGAGATAGTCCATCATCAATGATACTTGCAGATAACTTTTTCTCAGCTTTGGCAGCAGGCTTTGGAAGTGATGGGTCAACAGCTGTTTCACTGAGTTGAAGTAACTCAGAAAGCAGTTTCCTTGCAGATGTTTCTAGAAGGTCTCTACCAAGAGGTTTCTCCCCCCCAGAAATAACAAGTGGATCCAGAGCATGAAACAATAGTATTCGGACTATATCCACTGTCCGTGCCGCAGCTTCAGATTCCTTAAGAACCACATACGCTCTATCACAGGAACCTCGCAGATTGCAAGCACCACAAACCTGTATATGCCAGCACCATCCAGATCACAATCTAAAATTCCCAAGATTTATATAATAAAATTCCCCATCAAGCATTGAAAAGAAAAATGAAAACTAGATGATGAAGCAGAATAGGACATATATACATATTCTATCGTCATGTTGTAAAAGAGTTTTTATGTGTTTGTGTGCACTTTCATCAACAAATGTGAGCCATCAATCCGATAAATGAGGGAGATTACATACATCCCCTTCATCTAGCCTCAGATAGAATCTCAATCTTTTTGCTGAATTCACAGCTTTCCGGAAAAGATTGGGGCATCCACCCTCCACAACTGCTTGCATATCTTCCGTAGACAGTGATCTGCACCAAGAAATCAAAATGAAAAATATTAGATGCTATTATGCAAGAAATGCAGTCAAATGCTTATGTAAATAGTTTGGAATTTTCAATAATAAATGTCTAGAATTCAATCAAAATATGAATTCTTTTTATCAGACATTGTTCCTATTGCTGTAAAGGAGATTTGTGCAGTCCATTACAGGTAAGGAAAAGAAAGCTTGAATGATAGCACAAAAGTAAATGAAACATCAACAAAGCTCAAGAGTAGCAATAACTCAATTAATCCTCAGCCAACACTTTGTATTTCAACATTTTCTTGGCAACCAGAGCAAATAAAAGAACCTCACTTGAAAACATCGTAGCGGTCACGAGCAAAACTGAGGCACGCATCCTTTATTTGAGTCATGTCCGTGTAAACATCGTCACTCTCGCTCGGCTGGGTTCCGGTGAAGTAACCTTTGGTCTTCAAGCGGTCGATAAAAGCCACCCACTCGGGCCAGGGATGGAGCAGCGGCGCTTCTGTGCTGTTAGCGGTGACGCTATCAATAGTTTCAATTGCAGCGGAGGAAGAGCTGTACCTGGGGAAGCGCAGAGATTGTGAGGCAGCGAAGGGTTTGAGAGAATGCAGGGAAGGGGTCGCAGATAGAGTTCTTATGGGAGCATGGAACAGTGCTGCGGTTCCAAAGCGTATGAGCTTTAAAGCAGCTGACATTTCCCTTCTTTTTCTTCTTTGTTCGGATTGTGTTTTGTGGGTGAAATGGTGTGCCGGTGGAGCTCAGAGTTTGTGGGTAACGAGCATGGAAGAAGATGGCAGTAACTGGTATGAGAGGAAGAGGGAGAGGGTTTTGTAAAATAAGAACTTTGGGATGCTGGGTTTTATAGAGAGAAAAATTGAAGAGATAGGAGATTATTGGGAATAGATATTTTTTTTTCTTTTGGCCCCGAATGAAGAAGCTTTATTTATTTATTGACAAAGTTAAAGAAAATACATAAATATGAGATAAACAAGAAGAAAATTAATATATTGGTATATACAAAAAAACCAATAAAATAATATTTACCCCCCAAAATTAACAATAAATTTAGGATGGTAGATCCAAACACCCGCGGGTGATGCGAACGTAGCCAAAACCCCCACAGTTGGATCACAAAACTAACATAAACCCTTCTCCCCTTCTCCAGAAGAGTCTACCAGAGCAAATCACTCAGCTTTCTGCTTCTGCTTCTAGTCGCTCCACCATGAGAAGGGCTTCAACTCTCGCCTCAGTCAACGTCCTCTCCCGATCCCTCGCCACCGTTCACGGAGGCGCCGCTGCCACGTCAGCCTCCCTCAGCCACGGTCTTCTCCAGGTGGCTCTCTACGGTACCTCCAGCACCACCGGTTCTCATGTTCGTCGTCGGTGGTTCGATTCATTTTCCGGCGGTCCAGCTGGCAAGCTGGCTATTGGCGTAGCTGGAACTCTGGCTTCGGTCGCTGTTGCCTCGTCACTCACTCAGGAGGTCTATGCCAAAGAGCCGCCTCCGGCTGAGCTTGTTCCAAAGGACGTCGTGCTATACCAGTATGAAGCCTGCCCTTTCTGCAACAAAGTTAAAGGTGAAAAATGTTCTCTTTCTCTTATGGTTCTTTACTTCTCTTTGCTTGTTGAATTGCTTTTGAGGTTCGGTGTTTTTGCTGCCTTTGAATATTTCGCGCAAATGTTTAAATTTTTCACCGAATATCAGAAATTGGACGAGATTTCATGTCGAAATATTGGATTTTAGTGTGGATGAAACATTCATTTGAATAATATCCAATTGGTTCAGCATTTCTCTGCAGTCTCGCAGCCTATCATGGTTAAATGACAGGAAAAGAACAAACTTTACTTGTAGTTCGCATTCTATTTGGAATTTTCTGGTAAGATTTGAACGTAATTTTGAACAAATAGTGCACTGGGGTCGCTGGTAGCATGATAGGAAATAGCCATATGAACAGTCAATAAATTTGCAACCTTGTCAATCATTTGGTGTTTTGGTGTTCTTTCGGTTATTCTCGAGCACATTCTTTTTTTTTCCTATTATGTCCCTTTTCTTTTGTTATGATTCTATTAAACAACCGTAATTTTATGTTCTTTTCCATTTATCATGCTGTTTACAAATTGGCGACACTTTATTGTTGTCTCAGCATTCTTGGACTACCACGATATACCCTACAAAATTGTGGAGGTCAACCCACTTAGTAAGAAAGAGATCAAATGGTCTGATTATAAGAAGGTTCCTATATTGATGGTGGATGGGGAACAGCTGGTTGACTCATCAGGTATCTGTCCTTGTGGTTGTTCTTAGATTGCTGAGTTTTCTGGTTGGATTTCTAATTACAATATTATGGTGTATGCATTGTTGAATATATATATATATATATATATATATATATAGGTACTAGAATTACATATCTCAATTGAAATTGAGCATGTATCTGTTTGCAGCTATAATTGATAAGTTGAATGACAAAATTGTTCCTGAGAGAGTAGCCCCCCCTTCCTCAAATGATGATGAAGAGAAAAAGTGGCGCCAGTATGTTATCTTTTCCTCCATAGCTTATTATGCTTATATTCATATTTGGATAAAAGCGGAAAAACAGTATACTTATACTTTGAGTAGTTTTAGGGAAGGCCGCAGGTTTAAGCTCCACTGGACCATGATCTTAATGATACTATTATCTAAGAAACAAAGAAGAAAGAGAATGCTGCAAGAAATTCTCACCGAGTTTACAAGAATAAAAGAAACTATGCTTTGAATTAGACTCACCTCCAGTCCTTTGGATTAGTAATTTTACAGCCCAACTTCCTGGAACTTTAGAAAATTCTGCTTGTTCTGACAGTTTAGAAAATGGGAAATGAGCTCAGATACTTTGTCTGAAAATGGTTATTATCATTATACCTTGATTCAGTATAACACTTGGAGAATCCTCTATAGAGTTACATGAGTTTTTGTTGAGAGAATTACGATTTCATTTTGTGTGAATTTGGTGAAGGAAGTGCAAAACACTCACTTTTTTTTCTGTTACAAAACACTCACATATTATTGATGTAATGATTAACGAGTAGTTGCATATTACTCTTATCCATGGACCTTCAGCTTTGAAGCTGAAAGAAATATAACTTCAATTAGTGGATATTGGCAAGACATGCAACACTATCTCAATTGCATATTGTTATTGTGTTTTCTGAATTGATGGTCAAAACGTTTTTAAATAATTAGTGCTCTTCTGTGGCTTTGCATTGTCTTCTTACCGTCTATTGTTGTGGTATACCTTGAGCTTTTACTTAATGGTATCTTTGTATCACTAACTTTTACAGTCATGATCATGTATTATTTGGTTACAGGTTTATTACTATAATTTTTTATTCCTTCGTTGTTCTTGTTATTGTGGTATAGGTGGGTTGATAATCACTTGGTTCATATGTTATCACCAAACATATACCGAAATACATCTGAGGCCCTTGAATCCTTTGACTATATAACAAGCAATGGTATGTAGATCCCATCTTATGCAGCCATATTTTTTGGGCCTCCTAAGACAAACTTCCTTTCTTTCTTCAGTTTATGTTAGTAATATTTACTCTCTTCAGTTTTATGTAGAACTGCTTGACCATTAGATTTTGGTATTTTTTGTTTTCTGATGTAGTTTTGCTGTAACTGCAGGTAATTTTAGCTACACAGAAAAATTTACAGTGAAGTATGCTGGTGCTGCGGCTATGTACTTTGTGTCAAAGAAACTAAAGAAGAAATATAATATTACGGATGAACGTGCATCCCTGTATGAAGCAGCAGAAACATGGGTTAATGCTCTTAACGGGCGGGACTTTCTTGGTATGTGTGTCATATGCACATGATGTCACATATATATGGCATGCAGTTTACTTTTTAGTTAATTGGTAATCAAGGGATACATGCATTAAGGGACACAAGCAGAAAAATGTATTGATGAATATGCTTAGAAAATAAAATAAAATACTCTTGACTGGGAGATGATACTTGAATCAGGAGAAAGTTACTTGTGTGGGAAAAAAATGCAAGTTCTAGTCTTCTAAAATTCGAAATAACTATTGTATGATGAGAACACCATCATTAGTATGAATTGTCTCAAGCAAATTTGTAGCTTAAGGTGTGAGGTCTGTTTGATGGCTAACTAGAGTTTTAGCATGAGCCCTCAACTTTTTGCCTTGAGGTGAGCCTTAATAAGAACTAGGACTTCTGTTGTGTCATCCTTGTTTTTATCTTTGTCCTGGGAACAATGTTCACATGTATGCGTTGCTTGTGTCAGGGGGCTCCAAACCTAATATGGCCGACCTTGCTGTTTTTGGGGTGCTAAGGCCAATTCGTTATTTGAGATCTGGTAAAGATATGGTGGAGCACACACGCATAGGTGAATGGTACTCAAGAATGGAGCATGCCGTGGGAGAGTCTGCAAGGATTAAAGCCTAAATTGGATATCCTATGGAGTTTGTAGCTGGATTATATACTTCAATTTTGAGTTTGCCCATTCTGTAAGCAAACTACATAAAATACGAAGAAGAAAGATTTTTCAGGAGACACTCGCAGTTATAATTGAATTGAAAACAGGCAACCTTTTGCTATTATTTGGTTATCTGGAAAACTGAAATTGTTTATTGTTACATTAGATACGATTGTTTAGAAGTACAAGGAATAAGGTAATCACAGTGTGGAATTTTTAACAAGGGGTGTGTCCCTTGTGCTGACTTTTGTCCAATCAATATTAATGTCTACTCATCTTAGATTGAATTTTTTTGTAGAACAAGCTTAGGTTCTTTTTTGCGGTGTTAATGGTGTTGAATTTGGTGTTGGAGCTGTTTGCACCAAAAACAAGTCCCTTGTGGGCGCTATGGCGACATCTCCCACAAAATTTTGCGGCTTTTCCCGATTACAAACAATTCTTTATGCTCTACCCATCTCTTTCTAAAGAAGTATAAATGGCAGCTCCAATGAAGTTATATGTGATTTCTTTTTCTTTGTTTCTCCGATTTATAATCTGTAAGCTACTTTTATTAATGATCAATTTTATTCACATTGGATGTCCAAATAAAAGGGAAACATAGGTGATAAGCATTTTTGCAAAATTAGTTTTAGTCTATGAAGAAAAGACAGATATTATCATGGTGTTGAATGATAGCTTTGCTTCTTTGTCTTCATCAGGTGCACAGCAACTGGTCACTCTGGAAGCAGAAGGGACCAAAGGACCACGTTAACATTATATTAAACTTAAGGGCGAAAAATAGAAAAAAAAACGAAATACAATATTGAAAAGATAAACTTGGAGGACCTAAGACCAAAAAAAACAAAAAAAAGAGAAACTTGAAGGACCTACCCGATATTTCACTTTATGAATACAAATTACAATACAGCAGTAATAACCTCAAGAACCGTCTCCGCCTAGGTTACGCTGCGCTGGTCACTGCGTTATCCTCTTCTCCCTCGCCCCTCTCTCTCTCTTAAGTTTCAATATAAAAACCTGGACTTTAATAGTTTCGCAACTCCGGAGGGTTTGAGAAATATCGTAGACAAACATGGCGTCTCAATCCGCCAATCTGTGGGTTCTACTGGGTTTGGGTTTGGCAGGAATTCTGTTTATGACAAGGAAGCTTAAGAAGACCATCCGAGAAGACTTTGGTGCCTTTATTGAGAGGCTTCAGCTTCTCCCTCCTCCTCAGCCTGCTCCTCCTAAAGCTCCGCATCCCCTCACCGGCCTCACCTTCGCCGTTTCTGACGTGTACGCTCTCTACCACTTCCTTTGTTATTCTTCTGTTTGTCTCCTGATAAAGTTAAAAGCCAATAAAAGGATATTATAAGATTGAAGAGTAAAAACAAAAATACGGAACTTTTGAAAATATGGTCTTTGCTTTTGCTCAGCTTTATGCTCATTGAAGTAATGAAATGGAAGTTGAGGTTACTATTATTAAATAGCCAAAAGAATTAGTTGAATTGGGTTGGAACCCAGATGGTGAAAAAGCCTGAAATTTATGTCTTATCCTTTTATTTTCTGTATGTTGTTTTTCAACGTAGGATGCACTAATAAGACGGGCAGACTGATTTTGGTTATTCAAAACTAACTTATTGAACTTGAGTTATGTTATAGGTTTAGTTTCATTGTACTTTATTATTTTGATTTCCTTATCAAATGCAAGTAATTTGTATCATTGTGTTATAGAACTATTTGTTTGCCTTAAAGTGGATAAATTTGTATCATGGTTGGCAGATTTGATATTGAGGGACATGTAACTGGTTTTGGTCATCCTGATTGGGAAAGAACACATGATGCAGCTTCTCGGACGTCTCCTGTGGTTTCAGTTCTCGTCGAAGGAGGTGCCACATGCATTGGGAAAACCGTTGTGGATGAATTGGCATATAGGTATGTATTGCTATGAGCACACACTTTGGATGTTCTGTCAACAGGCTGAAGGTGTTATTCCTCATTGCTGTTGTGAATGGGGAAAAAAATAATTTGATCTGAGGACCCATTTTCCTTTCAGTTTATCCAACTCTAGCTTTAGTTTGGATTACATAATGTCAATTCCTTTCTGCATGTTTGTTTTCAGTATTAGCGGAGAAAATAAGCATTATGGTACCCCCACCAATCCAGCAGCATCTTCAAGAACACCAGGTGGATCCTCTAGTGGAGCTGCTGTGGCTGTAGCTGCCAATCTTGTTGACTTTTCACTAGGTGAGCTTCTTGTTTTTCTTATCTTTTCTGAAATTTTCTTTATCTTCTTTACATTTCCCATTAAGTTTTGTTATTAGTCATTGACCATGGAAAATCATTGAAAGCACATATGAAGGCTTGGGGGGGTTATTTTATTTGTTTAATTGGCAATTTGGCATTAAAGGCAATTGAGTTGGTTCTTTATTGGATTTGGTTTCATTTTCCTATCTTATCTGAAATTCTCTTATTTTGAGGCATGTTCATAATATTATGATACCTTAAAATGCTCATTTTTAAACCGGGCAGCGTATTTTACTTTTCTGTTTTTGAAATTTGTTATTTTCAACATATATGCTTATGTATCTATGTCGAAGCAGATATCTGCTTGAAAAGAAGAATCGCCGATCTCAAACTAATTATGAAGACGTATAAGTTTCTTTGTAGGAAGGCTTGATATAAATCATATAGATTTAAATATATAAATATCATAACGTTCACTTCATGCTAACACAATGACGCAGGTATTGATACTGTCGGTGGCGTTAGAGTACCTGCTGGGTCTTGTGGCGTTATAGGATTCCGACCTTCACATGGGGCTGTTTCTCACAATGGGATTATACCTGTTTCTACAAGTCTTGATACCGTTGGTATGTATGGTTTCAATTTTGTATGCTGCCATGATGCAGGAGTATTTGATCATGTGCAACTATGTATACCTGATTACTTTTTTGTTAAATAATAAATTTTCATCATACCAAACGTTAGCAGAATGCTATCTGGCATCCCTTAATGTTTTCAACTTTTCATATTGTTTGACTTGTAAGATATGTGTGCAGGATGGTTTGCTAAGGATTCTAGTGTCCTACGTCGTGTTGGACATGTTCTGCTGCAACTTCCTTATGCAGTTTCACGCAGTCCAAGACAAATTGTAATAGCTGATGATTGCTTTCAACAAGTAAAGATTCCTGTTGACAGAATTGTTCAAGTGGTCACCAAATCCACTGAGAAGCTTTTTGGAAGTATGCTCTTTTCCCTTGACTTCTGTTCTATGCTCCCTGTCCATGGTGGACCACTGTTTTTGAAAAAAATTCTGAATGATTTCTTCAGGACAAGTATTTAAACATGAAAATCTAGGGGACTATTTTAATTCAAAAGTCCCAAGCTTGAAAGAGTTTCATGGCCCGAAGACAAATGGTGAAGTCAAGACTTCATCCATAAAATTGCTTGCCAATGTTGTGCAGCTTCTTCAAAGGTGAGGTTACTTAGCCACCAGTCAACCTTCTGAATACTGTATTATGTCATAAATCATTGAAGATTATATGTCATAAAAGAGGATTAAAAAAATATTTAAAAAAACCATATATCTCCCTCCACCCCCATGCTTGTATAGTTTTCTGGAAACCTTGACACTGAAGGTTTCTGTGCTTATATTCTTTTCCTTCTATTCCATTTATCTGTATTCTGCTCTTATGTTTGATTTGGATGGGGGAAGTTGAAAGTCTTAAAAGTGAGGGAAAAGTGTTCACAAGATGATAAAATTTTAAAAGTAGTAATTTCCAACCAGAGAAAAGTACTTGGCTAAATATTCAGGAAATGTCCAGAAAATAGGATGGAACGTTAGGTATTTTATGTAGTGAATTCATCACAAATCCTTCAGATAAAAAATTATTATCCTCGTCCATCTAGTTATGACAATCTATAACGAACACCTTTTGCTTCTGGTTTCAATTTCTTGTATGGTGCATTCTAATAGGTCCATATGAGAAAACAGTTCTCCACTTTGTTCATTCATTTATCCTTTTTTGCGATATTTCCTGATAATATGTTGATTGAGATTTCTTGTGGTTCCTTTTAACAGACATGAGTTCAGACATAATCATGAGGAATGGATTAACTTGGTGAAACCTGTATTGGATTCTGCTACTTCAGCACAAATATGTGGACCACTGGACGCATCAGATGAGGAGATTGAGATCTGCAAGTCAATTAAGAATGAATTGCATGCAGCTGTCAACTCTCTATTGAAGGTAACGATTGAGATCCGCAAGTCCATTAAGAATGTGTTTATCGAAGTTTGCTATATTGATTATACTTTTGTGTTTAATTTTCTCGTGTAGGATGATGGAATTTTGGTGATCCCAACTATAGCAGATCCCCCTTCAAAACTTGGTGGGAAGGACATCCTCTCTGAGGACTTCCGGAGCCGTGCTTTTGGTCTATTAAGTATTGCTAGCCTGTCAGGTTGTTGTCAGGTGGAAATATCTATCTCTCTCTCTCTCTATCTCTCTCTCTCTCTCTCTCTCTCTCTCTCTCTCTCTCTCTCTCTCTCTCTCTCTCTCTCTCTCTGTGGCATTTATAAAAGGTAAAGAGATGTTATGGTTTACTAGACTGTTATTTTCTGTCTTGGGTCTCTAAAATTGGGAGGATCTTTACTAGGCTGTTATTTTCCTATCAATCTATGCTTTCGTTACATGGTGATAAGTTCGTACTGACCATAGTTTCTCCTAATCAAGTATACTCCGTTGATGTTCTACTCTTCAGGTCACAGTACCGCTGGGATCTCATGACAAGTATCCAGTTTCAGTTTCATTCATAGCCAGGCATGGGGGTGATCGCTTTTTACTAGATGCACTGCACACTATGTATGCATCTTTACAAGAGCAGGCTGATATTGCTTCAAAATCCAAATTATCCAAAAATGCTCTCACCAGGGAGCAATCTGCTGAAATTGCCAAGGAAAAGGTAGAGCATCTCATGATTGTTGTCCATTTGCTTTATAAGTTGTTGCTGTTTTTTTCGATTTTCTTTGTAACATGACAGCATTGGGATGTTAAATTTCTATTGGAAAATTATTTGGTAAACTAGTTTGTATGTGTCACTTGGATTTTGCATAATATATTTAAGTTATAGTCCGTTGACTTAGTTTCTCTTATTTTGCATGGAAAAGTTGAAATTACCTCTAGGATCTGGAGTCTTGATCATTAAGTTATTGTCGAACCACTAATTTTTCTACCAAGCCATATTTGCATAATGACTATTCATGTTTGTTTTGGAATTTTGCATTTTCATATCCTAAATACTCTTCTATTATCTTTACCAAATATTTAGGGAAACCAAGCCTACAAAGATAAAGAGTGGCACAAGGCTATTAACTTTTATTCAGAAGCTATCAAACTTAGTGGAAATAATGCGACGTATTACAGTAACAGGGCTGCAGCATATCTTGAAGTTGGAAGGTACTATTTGGTCGGGGATTTATTCTCTCAATTGAGTTTTGGTGGTTGGTTTTTGACTTATTTCTTTCTCTCAACCAGTTTCCTTCAAGCTGAGGCAGATTGTACTAAAGCTATCAACCTTGACAAAAAGGTAACTTCTTTTCTCCAAATACCTATTGGATTTTGCATTAATATGGGTTGGATGTTACAGACCCTGTGAAGCTCATTTTGTGCCATTTACTAATCATTGTTATATGATGTCACTTGATAAAGAAAATTCTTGTTCTTTACATCAGCTAACTGAATGGAGTAAATATAGTTTGGTCATGTGAAGTTCTTACTTTGTATGCAAACAAATTTAATATAATTATAATTCTACGTTGTTATGATTAATTATTCTTTATTATATTTGTCTTGATATTGTTCTATTATGTTCTTCCAGTGCAAATTATTATGTGCATTTTTATATTCAAAGTAAAATAACATTGTTGCCTACTGTTATGTTTCTTCAGAATGTGAAGGCTTATTTACGAAGAGGCACTGCAAGGGAGATGCTTGGTTACTATAAGGAGGCAATTGAAGGTGAGATTTGTTTGTTTATTTATTGGTTAATATACTGTTCCTTTATCTAAGCCAAATCCAGAAGTGTAAAAGCCTTGGGGAAATAATTCGTACTGGGTACAAAATAGATATATTTGAGATTGGAAAGTTCCTGTCAAAATACACTGAAAAGATGTGTAGGTTTTACCGGTTTCAGTTAGTTTTTTCTTTTCTTTTTTTAAATCATTCAGTCTATTCTCCTGAAGTTGTTGGTTCAATGGAATTTCACCCTGCAGACTTTAAGTATGCACTTGTACTCGAGCCAACCAACAAAAGGGCATCCCTTTCTGCTGAAAGATTGAGGAAGCTGTTTCAGTAGGTGACCAAGTCTAAGGCATGCCTACTGGAAGCACAAGAACAAGATTTTGTTTTGAAAGTACTTGGAAGTGTGCTCTGCCGAGAAGACCCATTCAGACAGGCAACAATCTAAACCATTCGGACGAGAAGGGATGTGTGAGACTTGAGTGGAGTTGAGATTCTTCACTCTCACTCTTAATCAAGTTGTTTTCAGGGGTCTGAACTATTGTTTCATTTGATCAGTTTTTAGGAGCTTTAGATTATTATTGTCACCAAAATATGTAACTATAGTCCAATTTTGTTTCTCTAAGATTACGGTTGTAATTCTAGCTTTGAGGTGAGGTTTAAAGCTCATTAATGGCTGAGCAGAGTAATTACATTTTTTAGCTCTGTCGTCACGATTTTTTGCAGTTCACTTTTTATTTGAAGTTAAACTTCCGCTGCTCGTGTATATGGCGTTCGCCTTGTTACCAATGAGCTGGTAATCATGCAAAGAATCTGGCACTTGTGGATGAGTTTTTGCCTGCCAGATATGACCACTACATCTAGTTTCAACTGTAAATTATTAGTTTTAGGGTGACGCGAAAATTTGTAATAGCATTCAGGCGTCGACCAGGAACTTGACATTTCAATGATTTGTCGTTGATCAGTACTAAATCAGTCTGCAAATTATTGTTGACCAAGCTTCAAAAGAGCTCAATGCCTAAAAGTTCCCATTGCAAGATTCTATAATATTTCTTTCTTTTACCAGTCTCAGAGCGGATTATCTGACACGAAAACCAAAAAAAACCAGAAGGCATTATCACTGTAGATGCAGAAGAAACCGTTTGAGTAAACTATACACTAGCACTAGCGAGGTTCATTTCACGCTGTATTCTAACATGTACTTGCCTCAGTCAAATTCAAAAAGATCCAGCTCTTCTTCTGTATACTCTGGGAGTGAAGTTCTCGAAATTAGTGGCTGCCTCTGCCTTTTAGCTCCAGTTATTCTCTCAACTTCTTGATCATCGTCAGGGTTAGGGATCTCAACTGAGTTTGCTGAAGCACTAATGGGTTGCGTCCTGCTCAATGGATTGTAACCTTTGGCCACTGTGCCAAGGTTGGGCTTCTCAGTTACCACAGTCACATGATTAATGGCTTGGGTGTGGCTGGATGCATTGTCTCCTTCAGCCACTCTGCCAGCGTTGGGCTTCTCAGCTACCACAGTTACTTGATCGTTATCAGTAGTGTCCTCCATGTTTGTGATTCCATCAGGCATTGCCCTTTTCACCAATGAAGATAGAACCTCTACGTCCTTGTTTCGGCTTCCGCAGTGCTCGTGGCCAGAGCAGCTCAGTCGTGTTACCGCATGATTTGTTTCCATGTGTTTCTCAGTATTATGCTGACTCTCTCTCGCCTTAGAGTTTTGTCTCAGAAAATTCATGATTCTTTCAGTGCTTTCCTGTGGCGGAGGGAACTTTTCTTGTGGCATCCATAAGTTTTCACTACTTCCTGTTATGAACAAATAAACAGGATAAGCAATTTAATTTTTAACTAAGAGAATTAAAAGAAAAAATTATGTAAGAATCTCATCTCTGTCAGCACAGCAACATAGGGGCAGCAAAGCAAATTTTCCCTGCAATAGAAGAAGATTGAATATGAAGATATCGCTAACTCATGACTTACCACTGCTGGGAGCAGGATTGTGGACAGATGAAGTAAGAAGATCTTTTGTCACGAGAGGTCCGCTATCCTTGGAGATGACCTGTAAATGTAGCAATTCATCGGAATACAGAGCATAAAATAATTGGAGTTTTTTTTCTGTTCTGCAAATTAAGGTTCGCATGAATTGTGGCGCCAAGACTATAGAAAAGAAATGCGGGGTGCGTGTATGTCGTGACCTGCTCCAAAAAAGAAGACCGTATGTTTTTCTCCACGTTGGTGTGTTTTGTGCAGAAAGAAGTAAGGGGCACAAGTGTATCAATAACACTAGTGCTGCTGGAATCTGATATTGTAATTATTGAGGAATTGAACTTCGAAGACGAGAAAGAGCACACACCTTAACCATGTTGTTCTTGGTTATATTAAGATAACACGCAGATCGTGAGGGGGAGAACACAGCAACCTGATAAAAAGCGCATGTGTTATTCATTCCCATACTGTTGATAGCAACATTACACTTCAGCTTAAAGCAGCATTTCTCTGGACAACTACACCCCAAAAGTCCCATTTTGCTTTTCTAAATTTTGTAGTTTCTTTATATTCATAAATCATCATAATTCTAAACTTCACCGACTTAAACAGAAGATCATAACAAACCTTCTGCAGTACCAAAACTGCACCAACAGATATGCTCTTCCCAAAGTCTCCCTCAGAAAGGACTGTGTGGTGGATGCTAGCACCAATTGTACCTGTAGGATCCTGAAACCAAAGTTTAAGCCAAATAGCTATGTCTCAGAGGATACGGTGAAAAAATTGACTCGAGCAGAACTTAGAGAGTACACAAAGAAGGGAAGAAGATGGCACTTTATCAGTATCCATGTCCATATAAGCTTACCTTCAGAGTAAGCATGAGATCACCAAGACCATTTGGGGTGCAAGATTTGATTATAGCAACAACCTAATTAACCAGCAACCACAGAAAATAACATGAATTTTTAAGCATTATAGATCCTAAATATGGCAAAAAAATTAATAATAAAACATAAGGAAAAAAGAAGTGAAGATTAATCAGGTTCCGACAAAATAGAAATGGCAGTTTCACACTACAGCAACCAAAAGCAGATAAAAAAAGGAATTTTTTTATTTATAAGCACGCCTGATCTTTGCTTTCCAGTGTTTTCTCAGCAACCAAAACAGAAATTGGGAATGATTTCCATTTCTAAGATTTCTCCAAGAGAGCAAAGTCATTGAATCGACAATTGATTAAAAAAATTAATAATAAGAACAATGGAAATACCTGAGCTAATCTGTGAGCTTCAATCCCCTTCCTGATAGAACCCAAGGTCGTCGGAAAGTGAGCACCTTGTTTGGTAAGAAAATCGAGAGCGCAAAGCCAGGGATTGGTGGTGAAATCGGCATCGTGATCATCGCCAACCTCGACGACTCTCCTTACGAACTCTTGGGTCGGAATGGGCTCCTCCTCATCGCGGTCGTGGGGATGGTGGGGATGGTGGCGGTGGGTTTGGGTCCTGCGGTGCATCGCGGCCTGTAGGGCTCCGGCGGGGCCCGGAATGAGGTTGGAAGAGGGCTTGGGGGGCTGAGGATGATTTGATTTGAGGGAATGGGAAGCAGAGCGCTTGCAAGGACGAAGACTAAGAGAGATGAGCTCTGATTCGTCGACGTCTAGTTGTTCCCAGGGTTCATGCTCATCCATATTCTCACTTCTCCTCTGCTTCTTGTGAGTGAGCGCGGGAATCCGAGAGTGAACAGTAACACTACAAACAGAGTAGGTTATTATTATTATTAATATTATTATGGATTGGGCTCCTTTTACCTTCAGATTATTGGGCTCAGAACCTCAGGCCCAATTAGTTATTTATGCAACAAGGGCTTATAATGAGATGTTCTTAATAGATATCTGATCAATGACAATGTTATTATTTGATGGTTGGATTGAACCATTAACATCCTCTCTCAATATAGCTCCCTTATTATAGAAGCTCCTCAAGAAAATTAGGACCCCATGTACATCACATTCACGAATTACATTACGTACGTCTAAGGATTTTTATTAGCATATGTCTCTCAGTTGAAATAAAGTAAAGAAATGAAATGATGGGTTCGAAAATGAGAACTTTATGGGTTTGGGGTGTATTCATTTTTTTTGAGACAATTCACATCACAACACATGATCTAAAACAGAAAAAGAAAGAACTCAACATATTACAGTTTCAACTACTTGTAAGTTTTGTAACTATATTATATTTTCACACCTACTTGTAACCATAATTAGTTCTAAACTAGAATGTAATTAGTCAACTATATGTTGACAGAAAAATAAACCAGAATGTAATTACAAAAAGATTTATACCAAAGTTGCTGTTAAGTAATTAGTTAAGAAAAGTGGGTGGACCCCACCGTCGAGGGAGACTGGACCAGTAAGCCGCCACCACGAAGGCGACCGACCGACCGTGACATATTATGTTTAAGGCAAGTCACGGAACGTGATTCACGTCACGGCCCTCACGTATTTGGTAGTCGATGTCCACAGGTTATCCATAATTAAATCCCGTCCATTGACCCTCGAACTGACAACCGGATCTTCCGGTCATTTCGTCCTTCCCTAACCAAAACGGTAAAAAACTTAAGACCTACCCTCACCCTCTTCCCTCTTCCATCTTCCAGTCTCAATTATCTCATTTCCTTAATCCAATTAATTTGCCCTCTTCGATTTCTCTGTTTAATTCTCTCTCCCATCATTCCCCTCGTGACACCAGCAAACAAAACAGATCAAATCAATCAATTCACCGGCAAGGAAAACGACAAAAACAACAGAAGAAATTTCCTAGTACCAAATTGGTGGGACCCAGATTTCTGTTGCTCTTATTTCTCTTTAATTTTTTATGTTCATTATAATGTTATTATTTATTGTGGTATGTTTTTTTTTAATTTGTAATTGACTTGGTTTGGCTAGGTGACAAAATAGAGTGCTTTAAAAGAGGGAGGGAGATCAGAGAAGAGAAGATGACGGACTCACCAAAGACACTAGCGAAAGGAGGTAGCAAGTCACTCATGGAGAACTTGCTCGGTCTTCTCCGAATCCGCGTCAAACGCGGTGTTAATCTCGCCGTTCGCGACGTCCGTAGCAGCGATCCCTACGTCGTCATCAAGATGGGTAAACAGGTATACTATGTCTCCTCGTCGTCCTCCTTCATCTTTTTCCTTCAATTTTGTGACTTCTCTGTTTATTTGGCTTTGTTTCTCAATCTGGGTTCCTTTTCCCCTTCTTTTTCCAACCAAAAGATTCTTCCTTTCCATATAGAATTGAACACTTCTGTTAGTCTGTCTGTCGTTTACCCTTTTCCAGTCCCAATTGTGTTTGGCATGTCTGGAACTGGAAGGCCTCAGTTTTGGTTGAGGTGTTTAATCGGATCTTGCAAGCTTTGTACATAATATGATTCTAATAAACTTTTTACAATTTACTCTTACATCTTAGAGTCTTAGACTGATTTGACTTGTGCTCTGTTGCAGCTTGACCATTTTATTTTATTTTTTGTTTCTTGCTTTATTGCTTTCATTTCATTTCTGCATATGATCCAATTGACAAGTATGTTCCTTTCTTCTAATTATGTATAAAAACTGAATCTTTGATGCAGAAACTTAAAACTCGTGTAATTAAAAAGGATGTTAACCCAGAGTGGAATGAAGATCTTACACTTTCTGTTACAGACCCCAGCATTCCAATCAAGCTGGTAAGTGCTTCTGCTATTGCCCCCAACTTCTTTAGTAGGAACAAGTGCCCCTTTACATTCCTTTCCAATTGTATATACATGAACGGAACCATCATCTTCGGTCAATCCTATCTAGAGAGCTATATGATCTCTTGCAGTATCTCCCTAGCTACTCCTCTTTGATTCTCCTATTTGAATCATCTTGTTCTTTTGCACTTTTGCATCAATATTTCTACTTTGACAAGGATTTTGTTATTATTAGTGTGCTATTGCATCAAGGTTGACAGTCTTTGTTTATGTGTGCCTGTAGACTGTGTATGACCATGACACATTCAGCAAGGATGACAAAATGGGAGATGGAGAATTTGGCATCGTACCTTATATAGAGGCATTGAAGGTGAACTTAGAAGGGGTCCCAAGTGGCACGATCGTCACGAGAATACAACCAAGCAGGGCAAACTGCCTAGCTGAGGAGAGCTGCATTCTCTGGAAGGATGGGAAGGTGGTCCAAGACATGTGCCTCAGACTGAGAAATGTGGAATGTGGTGAAGTGGAAATTCAGTTGCAATGGATTGACCTTCCTGGTTCCAAGGGCTTATCATGAGTGTGCCTCCTTAATTTGTCTGCTTTAATTGTGTCCGACATAATATAAATGGGCTGGTTGTGGTTGCAAAGGTTGTGCAACCTGAAATAGACACTGTCTTCATAGCTGGGTCGGTTTGTTGATAGGATATGTATAACAAATTGAGATTGTATGTACTTTATTTGACTGCTGGTATGCTTGTAGCTCATAACTAAATAGGGTGAAGAATTTTTGGGCTTTTGTTGTCAAAAACACTAAGTGAAGTGAGATGTGTGTGCCCTTTCATCTTTTGCTGGGTATATATCTCAAGTTGCAAGCTCATGTCTTAGAAATCTGCATAGCATATTTTTATATACCTATGAATTTGCAGGAAAACGATATATAGTGCATTATAGTATCGTGTTGGGAGGCTGGTTCCTGCTGTCCTCTGTATATTGAACAATTTCACGAAGAGTGTGAATTTGAGGGTACATATGGATCGAGTGGCATTTTCGGTGAAACTTTGATCGATGGGCAGCGTTTGAATTGCGTATTCTTCTTAAAAAGTTCACATAATATACTAACGTGGATACCCTAGAAAGAAGTTATGAGCCAGCCGCACGCATGGCTGGGAACCAAAGACCAACAAGGTCAGCAGCTGATTGCTGGTATATTATATATGTGATCAGAGTCCAACGCTTCATCAATTCATTGCTTTTTAATAAATCCCCTGCTTCAGAAAATTTGAAGGCTAAAAGATGTTTCTGAGTTGTGACAAAAGAAAACGAAAAGAAACGATTGGCATAAAAAAGACGAAAAGAAACGTTTGGAAGGGAAGACCAGGCCCCAAGTCCAACCCAATACTTATTGGGCAGGCTTCTTCTAATAGCCCGCCCGCCCTTTTATATTTCAGGCACGGCCTGGCCTAAATTGCGTAGTAGAAGAACACAACACAACAGGCTCGTTTTACACCCCTAAACCCTATATAGCTCTCCATGAACACAACTAGGAGAAAGACTTTCATAAAGTAGGGATAGTATTATTTCATTATTTCGGCCAATAACACGTGTGATAAACTTACTTAAAATAGCATTATCATTTGCAAAATAGTATCATCCCATTGCAACTAAGTTTTCTCCTCCATTGATAGGTCTATAATTTACGTTGGCTTACTTGCAGGGATGGATTAAATTTACCTTTCGGCCTTACATGCATTGTGACATCGCTCTCACTCACTGCGGAAAGGAAAAGGGTACGACATTGGGAATTGGTCTAAATAATTATTACTGACATAAATAAATGCATATGTATATCGGTTTTGACTCGATTGGTAACCCGGTGGTGGACTATATTAAGAAACTGTTAATTATGCCGTACCTATAGCAAGATTCAGTATTTCATGCGTTGGGTTGGATTTAAATAGAGTTAAAGAGTCTAGCCGCACGGCTATACTCTTTAAAATTTATATTTAGATAATGCTATTAATGGCCAATAGCGCCTAAGCGCCCGAATATTCTCTTTAAATATTAAATTTAAATAGTATAGCCGGGCGGCTATACTATTTTTTTTAAAATAACAGGGTATAGCCGCACGGCTATACTATATATTAAAAAAATTAAAAACACAAAGGACCCACCTAGTGCTTAGGAGCCCGAATCTTCTCTTTTCCTCAGCGTAATTCCAAGGCCTCTTTCCATCTACAAATCTATTTTCAATCTGAGAGTTCATTTTTTTGCTTATTTTTTTCATTTGAACGTTTGCCTTTGATTTACCTCGCTCTCTGGGGTGCTACTAAATTATATTACTGCACACATGATTTGTTGTAGAGAATTGCATCCATAGTTGGGGTGGTCTTGGTAATTGCTTCACTTTTCAAACAACACTTTACATGAAGAATACTACCACTTCTTACTATTATACCCGTAAATCTTTGTTTGAAATTGTTGTTCTGGTTGGCAAAGAGATTGCAAAATCACAATCTTCTATTTTTGTTACAACAAGTAAGAATAATCTTAGCCTCAAACATTCTTTCATAGTTAGTAAAGTACAAATAAAATACGTACATGTTTTATTGGGCAAAATTTTAGGAAGTTACAAGTGAAAAGTTTGGCCACTATATAATATTTTAATATCATTTTTAAAATTTTTTAATATATGTTATTTTTATTCAATAATATATGAAATTTATGTGTATAATACGTGAATTTTGTGTGTATTATTGAAATTTTTGTAAAAAGCACTTGTATTAAACGTACATAAACATTTTTCCTCTCCTTGTAAGAAGCGAGAGAGCGACCCCCAATCAAGTTCTTCTTTAAGCTCTATTAATTCATGAATCACAAATTCTAAGGCCTTTTTACCTAGCTAGCTTTCCCTATTTATTTACATTATTAGTGCCAAAGGATAGAGATACCTAGCTAGCTTTCCCTAGTTCTAAGGCTTTTAACCAAACATATATATATATATATTGAGAGCTTCTATCGAGGGATCCTTCAAATAAGTTTATTTGAAGGACACCCTTATAGGGTCCACCCTGCATTGTATTTCACTAATCCAAACCATGTAATTCATTCAAAGATCATCTCTACAACAAAAAACAAAAAAACAAAAAAACTTGAATCCAATATCATTTGACCATTCAATTAAATTATAAGCACTTTCTTGAAGTACCGTGTTTATTGATTTTGTTGGTCTCAATTAGATCCCTTAATGATTTCAATTTGTCTGATTTTTTGCAAGGATGATCTATGAATGAAGACTTGAAAAATAGACGATTTGGATCATTGAAAAAAAATTCGTAGGATAACCTAAAAGGTGTCCTTCAAATAAAATTATTTAAGGGATTTCTCAATAAACAGTAACTATATATATATATATATTTGTATATATCTATCACCGAAAACCTAATGCCCTATAGCTTTTTGAAAAGGATGGACGACATATACCCGTTTTATGACACATGTCTGCATTTTGAGGCTTTTAAGCATTATTAGAATCAAATTATTTTTATGTAATGATGATCATGATCAGATCGATACATACATTTATCTAATTCTAAATGAATCAACCTCCCTTTTCTCCTTAAGCCAGAGTCAAGTTTCGCTGTCCACAAGTTCAATGTGAATCAACATTCCAATTTCCAACAAATTGAAGCTTACTTAGAAGAAGTGAAGTGCATGATGCATCCGCCATCTTTTTTTCCTTGGTAAAATGGAACTCTGTCTGTGTGACTGTGTCGACCATTAATATTTTTTTTCCGCTTAGACAAAAGGAGCTTTATATATATATTGATCAATGAGGTTGCCTTTCCCTCACATGATCACATCACAAAAATGTAAATGGTTTTCTGAATTACCATTCAACTATTGCACGTAATCACATAGTTTATGCACTTAAATAAGGCTTTAAGCTTGCGCTTGTCTGCCATCTTTGCCAACTTCTGACTCGGCATCAGCATATCTTTACTTTGACCGCTCGCTCCTTCCTTGTGCTAATTACTATGTTTTCTGCATTACCATTTTGTGTTGAGTTTTATGGACACAACACAAATATCATATAATTATTAAGCATGTAAAAAGGTGGTTTGGAAAATGAAAACTATAATTAACTAACACACTTATTTCTTGACCTCATAATTTCATTCACCGTTTGGATATGCCAAATTCTTAATCAGTCTCCTTCATTTATTCCTTGATTTCCTCTTGCAAAAAGAAAAGAAGAAGAAGAAGAAGAAAAAAAAGTGACTGGTGGAAAGGAGAGAAACATGCATGATCTTTGGCAAATTCTCTGTCCCTCTAGGCTGGCTGGGTACGTACTGAGTAGAGTGATTCATTCCAATATCTCATATTTCTAGGTTTGATGACTTGGATTTGGAACCAAGATGATTTGCACAAGAAGCCAAAAACATCACTCAATCTCTCTTCTTAATTGTCCAAATTACCCATCTTTCTATAGCTTCTCTAATTTCTATTATATTAGGCAATCCTCATTCAAATCCAAAACAAATGTAGTTTTTTTTAAATAAATGACAAATTAATAAATTGAATAGAGCACGCAATTTGGGGAGTGAAGAAATGAATTAGTTTAAGAAATCCAAGTGATAAAAATGGCTTAGAAAACAGAAAAGGGGCATTGCAGTGCGTGCAGTGTAAGCGTGGTGTTTGGAGTTTTGGATTTCAAAGAGAGTTGTGAGAGTAACACGTCAATGTGTGTCCCCCGTTTGCTTTCATTCTTTGTGAACCCCAAGCCCCCATGGTCATGACTCATGGTCCTCATTATTAACTTCAAAGCATGCTCTCTCTCTCACTCTTCTCCGCTCAGTTTTTCATCACTTCTAGGAGAGGTAACCCTTTCATTAATTAATTTTAATAATTTCAATTTCAATTTCATCTCCCGAGTTCATTTCAAGCCAATCATACGTTAGAATGTCAGTATTCAGCATAAATTAATCTGTTTCCTTTCAAGGTATTCACAGAATGAACATTAATTTGTTCTCTGTATCAGCAAAACTTTAGACATACTACCTGTCTCGCATGAAAATATTCAATTAATACTTCTTTTTGAGAAAAGAATAGGGAAAGGGAAGGCAGCGTTTGGTAACTCAAATTACTTTCCTACTTTTTTAGGCGTAAAAAGCAAAAAGTAAAACACAATACCCTAATAATTTATCTCCAGCTAGCTAGTTTCAGTTTAGTAGTATTTTTCTTCCCGATATTAAATCGAATCCCCGTACCTCATCTCATTGATGAAAAAAGATTTGATCTAGTTATGAGGATAAGGAAATGCAACAAAGAACTATAAATCCATTTGATGTGAATCCAAATCCAGCGGAGACTATATGATGTCGCTTGCCCTCCATCCATGAACACAAATATATAAGTCCAAAATGAAAATGAAAATGAAACTGGGGTGGGCTGGGTTGGGTTGGCGTGGCTAGGATTGTTTTGTTTGGCTACTTGGTGTTGGTGTGGCTAAATTCGGATTGGCATCTAATCCCACCTAACACAATGACATGCAGCGCTTGGATTAAAAGTATGGACAAT